GTAAAACAGGCTCTTCTTTTCAGTTGAAAATAAATTCGAGGTTTTCAAATCAGTTTTGAATGAATAAAGTCATATTAACTACATGCACAAGTGATTCAAAAATATTTAATGAAAATAGCTTTAAATTTTGATACTGCACATTTCGTTTCCATATTACCAAATTGCACAATTATGTTGCCAAGATGGACAAAGTGATAACCTCCATTTTCGCAAATCGGAAAGTGGCCACCAACATGCATAATACAGAGATATTAAAATTCAGTGACACCTTCGAACGTTTCAAAATTATTCACAGATTACTTCTTTGAGCAGTCAACATCATCGTGTCGCATCCGACGTGTGGCGTCAGCTTATCGTGGGTATATACTTCAAAAACCGTTGTTAGGAGAAAATAAAAGTGGAGTGACACGATAAAAAAAGCGATTCTGTTTTCGGTAAACTGGGGAATAACCACTGCAAATTTGGTCAGTCAGTTATGGTAACATTGCTTTTAACACGTGCTAGTATTCTGCCTTCTAGATAGATAACTCCTCAGATCCAATATTTACCTTTAAGGCATGTAAGATCTAAATGTTCTTTCTTGACTGGTTTTAAGTCAGGCTGGGAATATGATGTTGTTTCCCAGCGCATATATTTAAGTCTAAGATAAACGTATTGGGAAGAAGTTAAAAATGAGTCCTGAAAAACACCAGATGATAAGTAAGATTTAGAACCATGAAAGCGTTTGCCTCCAAGAATAACATTGATGTAACTGTGTTATAACATTTCCTGAATTCTAATAAAATAAGTCTCACATAGATCGCATGTAACAGCATAAGTAAGACTGATAACAGTTGAACAGATTTCTATATTTGTAAAACGGGAAAGAACAAGTGTACAATTCCGTCATGATAATTACCAACGTTTTATGTATGCGCTTGTGTAAGCGCAAAGTTAGGAACGAGTAAATGCCTGAATAGATCGTATCCGGATAAAACTGTATGTGTAGTTCACGGTATTGTCTGAATTTTATTATAGTTAATAATTAATACAATATTTAGGAAACAAAGTAAAAAGGTAACCTTGCTTCTATGTTGAGGTCATGTACGTAAGCAAGTTGTATTGTTATATTTAACCCTATTAACGCTTAATAACGCACGTGGTTACATCTGAAAACTATTTAATTTATTTGTAAAATTTACGTGTTTAGATTAGGTGTTTCTCAACCTTTTCAACCGTAGGCCCCTTCGAAAGGTAATTTGTTTTTAATGAAAAACACAACCCAAAGGCAGCTGGATAGGAGCCTACTTACCCCATAAATATGGTAAAACCAGTGTGCTAAAACAATAATGAAGGATTTACTTCTATAGATGGCAACCTACGCATGTACGTACCTATGTGGTTAGAATTTCATGAGGAATGTCAGTGTTACAATTTGCGATGAGATTGGTGGACGACTCGTCGTCGCGTGGTAGTTCTCGTATTGGATCGTCGGTTGCGGCTTAGTTCGCCAACCACGCTTGTTGACACCTTGTGCTACAGCTTGAGAGGGCGTATACAGGAAAATCATTTATACCTGTGGCGCTGCGAAAGGTATATTTACTATAAGTACGATTGGGCAAGTTTTCACAATCCCTTTTTGTTTTAACCCAGCGGTTCCCACATTTTTCCTTAAATTCTACCCTTCGCCTATTCTGGAACCCCACCATTTATAAAACTACTATATTTATTCAAGCTCTGAAGGGTGGTTAGCTAGTATCGTGCGAAAGTCAATTGGCAAGTGTCCACTATCTTATGATTCAAATATATAAAGGTTCAGCTAGAATCCATAATGCAAAAAGTCGAATAATGCGTCGCCATTCTTTATTGTCATTTGAGAATTCGCAATACTTTTATGTTGAACAACCATAATTCATTATAACGGAACAATTTAATGCGTTTCGACTAGGGATGTCATTATCTTTTCCATTTTCGTTTAGCCTTGTATTCGAATAGTGTTTTCCAATTTCAGTTGGTCGGGATTCAGAAAGTGCGCAGAAATTGTGACAGCAGCCGCTCGATTTTTTTCGTTAAGTTGCGTTGCATATTTTATAATCGGAAATTCCCATACAACGACTTCTGAAATAGTCGCCGCAAAAACCTCATTCCTTAAAACAGCCGATTTTTTCAGCGGATAATGATGTTTCTGTTGCGCAAATTATTCAATTCATGACCGACACCAGTATTTGAAATGTCTTTCCATATTAATTTTGTTGAGACGACTTATGACACGATACGTCTGATGCCACGAGAACGCCGATAATTCATTTTTCTCGCATGGAAGGAGTGATACGACTGCAATTCGACGTTACAATACCGAAAATAAACGAAGACACTAGGATTTATGGGCCCGGAACAGATAAAACAAATAGACGCGATGAATACCTTAACTTGATTGATAACCATTGGAAACTATGTCATAGTCTTTCCTTAATACCGATGTCCCCTATATAAACATCTAAACGCCGAAGGAACCGAACTTAACAAAATTAGTCCGTAAAATCGCACGCCTTTATTAGCGACTTTTTAGATCTCCCGAAAACACTAAAAATGGGAGGGGGGATGTTATATTTATGTAATATTTTATTGTTTTCATGTAATTTTTGAGAAATAACTTGTTTCCGGGATGATGCATATTATTTCAGCAATGTGCATCAGCGCAATCCGACGGTCTTCGTACCATGCATTTTTTACCAATCACATATAATCAGATATAAAGTGATTTAAACACCCTCGCAGCATTACCTGGACTCTGTTAATTTAAACCATGTTCGAATTGTTTTTTCAATGTGATTCTTGAATATTCCAGTATTCGGATATGGACACTCTAGTTTCGACATCCATCTGATAAAATCTGATTAAACAGACTGCGGTTAAATAAATAACTATTTTATGAAAAACTTAAAATCGACAAAAATTGTCTTGCAATTCAGTTATTAGAGTGGCGATATACTTCAATAACAACTAGTGGGACAATCAAATTTAGATGTTTTCACATTCATTTTTGAATAAATTTTTAACCTACTCAATGCAAAAGAAACATGTAATACAGCCATGTTAAACGAAACAGGTAAAATAAACTTGATTTATACCACCAAATCCCTGTCCTTGATATCTCGCGGCCTGTCATTAACTTGACAATCTTTCTCTGTAAAACGCTGTATTGATATATATAATAATAATAATAATATACGCTTAAGCACATACACACTTTTAAACAAGATTACTGTTATAAAAATTATTTTGGCATATATAATATCAGTCAAGCGGCCACAAAATCAAGAACATGTCTAGAATAAATGACGAATGTGACTCAATAACCATAGCAACTCGACAAATCATACGTACTCGTCCGAAATTTAAATCCACTGTGGAAGCGAGCTTGAAATCTTAGGTTTTTGGGGATTTACTTGTGACTTGAAAGATACGTTAATAAGGCGTTAAGCAAGGCCTAATCACGCGTTGGTTTACGTTGTGAGAATGGATATTTTTCTCTCATTCTCTCATTTCGCCGATTTCCACGTCTGGCAGTTGCAAACAAGTTAAAGCGTTGCTCCAGAAGCTACGGAATATCCCGCACTCGAACCATATGTTGTAGCATAAAGAATCATGCGCATTCAGAATCATTTGTTTTGTCTTATAATTCATTGTAATCTTCAATGTCGCATGCTGTAAGTTTTTAGTGTGTGTATCGCGGAATATTTTAAAGCAGATTTGGCTGTTATAGTACTGAGTTGGTTAACTGTGAATGCATTGTACTGTAATAACAATTTTGTCATTACCAAAACAATATACCATTCGCCAAGTGTTAATTTGCTGGTTTGAGTTTGTATTTTGTTTTGCAACATTATCAGCTTTTTTGTAAGTATTTGTGGCAACGTTTGCATTCGGTCCCGCGAGAAGTGTACTGGATTCCTTCGCTACAAAATAATAAATAAGAATGGCAACGACATGTATTTTGGGTTTAATGAATGCAATATGCTATGTCAGTAACCGCTGCGTTATATTTCTAAAAAGTTATGAGCTCTTTCGTAAATATTTGTGGCAACGTTTGCATTCGGTCGCGCGAGAAGTGTACTGGATTCCTCCGCTACAGAATAATTATTAAAAAAGGCTACGATAAGTATTTTTGGTTTAATGCGTACCATAATGTTTTTTTTTATGTCTTTACTTTATATAACTTTTGGAATTTACATTTTTTTGAACTTTGTTTCTGGTAAAATTCTTTACTGGGTTGTTTTCCGTCCTGCAATATTATTATATGGCCATTTTGTAGACGATGGAACTGTGCTATAACAATAAAGAAGATTAAATAAAACTTATAGTATTTGCTAAGGCTGTATTACAACTGTATAATCTAGCTTAGATGAATACAGACGACAGCAGAAGCTTAGAAAATTGATTAATATTGCCCTATCGCAGTGTATTAAATAGACGAGGCAGGTAGTGAAAAATTTGGCGGCCAGGTAGCGCAAGTTTGGGTCACCCATATTCACAAAAAGTTTAAACTGTCACACGCGTATCAAATTGAAGAGTCAAACCGACACTTGGTCTATTAAATCATTAGAGGGAGTTTGAAATATTCAGCGCAAATCGAAAAACATTGCCTAAATTCTAGTAAAGTCGTGGGTAAACAGCAAAAATCACAGAGAACATTTATTCATTTGGAAAATTGTCATTTAAAATTGAGCCATTTTTATCCAGTGAGATGATGTCAACACAATTACTAACCAACTTCGTAAACAATTAGAAAGCCGGTAATCAAATAAATAATTTCATTGCTTTCTGTTATTGAAAAATTCTATTTCATTCAGGCAAAAAGGCGAAAGCTATGACGAATGGTTAGATGACACCGTTTAAAATATTGTGTTTGCGCATGACATTTCGATGATTGAACGAAATGCTTTCACTTGTTCCTTTCAAACCTAATATGAGGCATGCTTAATCATTTTCAATGTTTGCATTTTAGAAAACTATTTTATATACAATATTTATTATATATTTTAAAAAATTATAAGGACATAAACGTGTAGTGCTGAAATGAAGAAACATACCTTCTATAAGTTTGCTATTTTATGTGTCGGAATGTTTTTTATCTATCGTGTTTCCCAAAAATTTTCGGTTATTCAAATTGAAAAAAATATTGGCACAAATGGTAAGTGGAATCGTGTTTTTTATTTTATGTTATCAATATATCCTCTAAGCATTTTATGCAACATATCATCTTCCTGTACAGGTAATGCAAAAAAGTAGGTTTCCGCAAATACAACTGTTTCAAATATTTACAACTTTATACGTTTGGCAAACCATTGCTGATGCTGAAATATTTATTACAAAATACCTATAAATATACATATCTCACAAATCCATGTAGATTGCTGTAGATTATTAACATGCTCCAACCTCAGATTTGACAGTTGGATTTTATTTTTTATTTTATTGCAGCTATGTTCGCTTAATATTCCGGGCTGTCTGGTTGACTCGTTCTAAAAGTTTCTCGCTCGAATAACAAAAACCTATCTCTGCGTATCTATCCAAACCTTTTACTACAGTTTGAATGATTCATTTATTTATAATTTATAGTTCATGGTTTTATATGCCTTTGGGTATCCCACCTTTTGGGTGATAAAGCATCTTGGGAATGATCTTTAAGATCGCCTATTATCAATGTCTGTATTTGTATAGTTTATACAGAAAAGATGGAAGTAAATACAATCATTTTGAATGAGACAACCGAGAGATCATTAGATCAAACTCTCCATTGGATGGACATTCATTCTCCACAGCCAGATAGTAAGCATGCGACTGACTATTGGTTCACTGCTAAACGGGTATCACTGTTGAACATGCTGAATTACATCATCATTCCAAATACGTTTTATACTGAAAACATCACTGCCTTTTATTACTAGTTGAAACGATATGCACATATTAGAGTGGTTGTATATGCATATGGATTGCTAGTCAATGAAGTATCGGTCTTGGCTGTATCTATATTACTGTAACGCTAAATTGTAAATATTGCGTTTCACGTCGTAACTCCTATACTTTGACTGTTGAGCTCAATCCATTTTGACAACACTCAAGATTTTTACGTTAAACTATTTTGTGTTCACTACAGTATTAGTTGACGATTCACAATTCAACAAAACGAGGATCAATAATGACACTCGAAATATGACAGAAAATCATAGACCAATTATTCTTTTATGGGCACAACCATACCCTAAAATCGAGTGGCATTTACCTGATTTACCTGGTGAAGATGGAGGCTGCGATATTACGGTGAATCGCAGTGAATACGAGAGAAGCGAAGCAGTTTTGTTTTTCATGAAATATTGTGTTTCTAATGACTTGCCGGACCCTGCCAAAAGGTACCTTATGCAAAGTGTATTTTAAATATTTTATTTGTAGTTTTTAAATCATATATTGCAATATTAAATTTACAGTTGGACTTCAAGTAGGCCCCATCGCCAGAGTGGGGGTTGGAAAGTGATATTCATACACAGTCAAAAATATGCATATACAGCCAACTGATATTCATATATTATAGCACAAACTAAATATACAAATATAACTAATGTCATATACATATACTGCCAACTCAATATACCTATACGGACCATTGGTTCCCAACCTTTCCACCTCTACAGACCGTAACATCAAATAAATTACCCTCGGACCGGCAACAAAGTATTGGAATGGTTGGCACTGAGTATAAAATTGAAGTAGGAAAATGTCTCATTTTAATGAGTGCTTTTTGTTTTTTGTGTTGTTTTTGACTGCGTGGAACACATAAAAATTATCAAATGATAAACTAGAATGTAACAAATTGTTATATACAGTTTTCGGCTTGCCATTTATGATAGTAATTTAACATAAATTTGTCTCTAGAAGAGTACCGAAGTGTTTCGTTTTTTCACTAATAAATCATCCATTCTGAAACGAGTTTGTAAAATAATAGGACCAACGAATATCAACGTATTGAAAAACAAACATATGAGTAACGTTGCGACGTCCTCAGAATCAAAATTCAATCAAAGTTTGAAAACTTACATGCTTTACATGTTTCACCTAAGCATACGAATAGACCAAACGATTACTTTATAAGTTTTGTGGAAGCTATCGCCGCATTTTTAAATAATGTAACATTCTTATATTTCAAAGTCATGCCTTCTTTACCGTTTTGCTATATATATATAAATAAAATGGACGTTATATAGCATTCCTGTGTAATATTACGTGAGGCGGACCATCACGCGGCACTCTCTGAATGAAGTTCTTATTCTTAGTTCGTATTCAAAAGGAACTGTAAATATGCAATGGCAAATATATTGCAGGGGCCATCAACTCATCAGCTATCAAACTTATCAGTTTCAAAGAAGAGAAATCGCTCAATAAACGAATGCAACTTTGTCTTTTCGCTATCTAAACGATTGCGTCTGCACAAAAACAACGAAATTTCTCGCCTACCCACAAAAAAGTTTTGCATGCCGGCAGTTGGTCAGCGGTTGGGAACTACTGATATAGACAATTCATATTATACAGCCATTCATGTAATATCCATACACAGCCAATGCCATATGCAGGTATAGTCGACTCAATGGACATTTAGGTGATGTACATACAAAAGTCAAATGCACATACAGCCATTAAAGTGATATACAAACACAGCCAATCCATTTCATATACTAGCCTTCATTATATATTCTGTACCAATGCCGATATTTACAAGTTATGGATATATATATGGAAAGACGTAATCTAAAAATTCGTATTGCCCCACAACATTGATATAATGAGTGCGTTACAAAAGCTTCCCGAAACTCCGAAACGTTCATTGATCGAAATTGATGTAACAAATTACCACTTTAAGCACCATTCAGCGAGTGTTTCTTCGTTTAATTAGCGTGTAAAAATGCGTACAAAATCAGCCGCTCGTGATGCATGAATACGTGCAATCTATGTCATAATGCCCCACGACAGCTGATCGTTGATAATATGAGAAATGTGCTATAGTGACAATATCTACATTGCAAGTATCTTTTTAGTGGATCAAATTAAAGTTTCAGCTAATTGAATTAAAGTTTTAGAAAGCATCGCCAGATTACACTGTGTATAATAAAAAAAACTTATTTTTGTTTACAGCTTCCTGTTGGCTTTTGACATGTTCATTGAGAAAATCACCTTAATTCTTTAAATTCGGGTTCGGGAATTTTCACCAAATCGTGTTTTTGTGATATAAAACGGAGTAAAACTTAAAGTATAACATAGTCTGGTTCTTTTTTTCAGTGTTTTTGATATTCCAGTAATGTGTTTTTGTATTCTATCTATGTAATAAACCCAGAAGAGAATAACACAAACCCATTTAAAATAACTTTTTTGCAACCAAAAATTTCCAACCCTAGTCCAAGTCGATTTCACGAATAGTAGATTTCACGAAGGAATTTTCAAAGAATCTGAAATTTTTAACTAGCGCAGGGGTGTGCAACCTGCGGCCAAAAAGAAATATTGTGCGGCCCGCGGAGAAGTGCCAATCCTGAATGGTGTGCGGTCCGTCAAAGGGTATTTGATTTAATCTGGTACCTGCTAGGCTGCTAGTAATTCCAATCCCGTTGCTTTGCAAATCCTATACCCGAGTTCAGTTTATTAACTACTATGATGACGTTACAATGCCTCAACAGCCAGCTTGTGCGAAGCGAACAACGCGTGTCATAAGATCAATAGCCAAAATAAACTACTAAAACGTTATGTCAAATAAATGTGCGGCCTGCGGTTTCACCCAGTCATTTATTTGTATCTGGCCCTCCTGTATTGAAGGTTGCACACCCCTGATATGACGGGTCCAACCAGGGGCTGAAAAACGTGGGTTTTCATGAGTCCTTAGGGTCTAAAAACCGTTTCAAACTACGAAAAACTAGGAAAATGATACGCTGCTGATATCGTATTTGAAAATAAAAAAAATTCAAATTTAATATTGCGATATCCACAGTTCATCCGCAAGTTTTTGGTGTTTCATATCCAAAATTAAAAGAAAAATGCGTACAAGGATTATAATGATTCCATGGGATGCGTTTTGAAATTAAAACGCGAGAAAATAGTTTATGGTAATATGGTTAACAAAAGGAAGAATTCGTATAAATAAATATTTTTGCATGGTATGCAAAAACCACGTAAGCAAGAAATAATTACTTTGTCGACGGTTTACTGTAATTGGCCAAAGAATAGTTCACCGAAGAGAGATTTTCAATGTCGTTGTTGTCACCGGCCCAATTTTTTAGGTTTTAACGATCAGCTGTTGTGGGACACCATGACATCGTAGATTGCAACATATCGTACGTATTCATATAAGCCTACCGCGTGTGCCAGGATTTCACGCGTAAGCACACTGACCCAATTTGTCAACGAGAATAGCCTCATCCTAAAAAAAAGAGAGCGATGCTGAAACATTAGCGCACGATAGCCAAAACGAAGTAGTACGGGTATGCAATATGTCACAGTAAACTACCGTTACTGCAGTCGTCACGACTTCGCCGGACCACCAAATCGCGAACGCGGAACCGCCACGAGGTGCGCAATTTTTATTTTTGATGACGTAATCGCACAAAAAAATAATTTTTTCTCAGAGGTCACAGAAAATTTTTGAAAAAAATATATACAATACAAAAATAAAAGCTTTAACCACTAAAAAAGAATTCTAACAACAATAACAAAACGATTCATATGTACAATTCTTATCCAATAATCTGGCGATGCGTTTAAAATTAAACAAACTATAACGTGAATAATGTTAGTTTGCAACAATCTTTGATTTGATTAGTTTGTCGACAATTTTACTACCAATGACCAAAGAATAGTCCACTGTAGATCACTTTTTACCATAAATCATTAACTATACAGGTCACCAAATCAAGTGTTCGTATGGTGGGCTCATGAATCACCGTGGACTGTTCTACATTATTATCATTACAAGCTGAAAGATTTCAATCAATATTTTAATTGGACAATGACATATCGACGCGATTCAGATGTTCTGGCGTCGTTGGCTCCTACTCCAAGTTTAGACTATTTTCTTTATAAATTTGGCAGGTACGGTAGAATGAATATTTTGGTACTAAAAGTGGTATTCAAATAGATATAATATAATGGGATTAAACTAAAGTATATTGTTAGGAAAACAGGAAAAAAAACACGGAATATAAGTGAAAGACTAGATTTTATACACGATGACGAATCAAATTACTCTCAGTTTCAAGGCGGAAAAGAGTTAGAAATGTTACAGGAATTCATACTTTATAATAGTATAAATTATATGCTTTTGTTGCGTTGAACAGACAAAATGAGATGAAGGATGCTGAACTCCTTAGACGTCCGACAATGTCAGAAGATAGATTTCGTGAAGAGATCGGTTTGTTGATGTCGAAAAAAACAAAGATGATTTCGTGGGTTGTCAGCGATTGCAAAGATATCGCAGGAGCATCAAAAAGAATGCAATTAGTTAACGAGATGACGAAGGATGGTGAGCAGCTTGCTTTTAATATAATAACCGCAGTTTCAATTGTATTGTTATATTGTTAAATAACAATAGGGCAATACAATTCTCGTTAAATATTACTTTTCTAAAGTTCTCCAAAACATGAGGTGGCCGAAAAGAATCCAGATTGGAAATTTGTCTGATGGACCCACGATCATGATTAAACTTAATGTTAAAAATATATTTTATTATTTATTATTATTAGGTATTATAGACAACAAAATGGATAGAATATCTAGTATTAAATTCATAGTTATTTGGTAAAATTTGTTTATTTTTGAACTGGATGATATAATGTTTTTTGGTTGGAACCTTTTCAATCGTTATAAACTAATATTTAAATCTATATTAATGTTCTGTTTATTTAAAAATCTACATCTTATATTTTTGCAGGTCTTCTGGATGTGGATCGATACGGAAAGTGCGCCAAACGTCCTATTGCAAATGATGTCAACGTACTCCTCGAAACTATAAAAAAATATAAATTTTACTTATCGTTTGAGAATTCTTTTCGTTGTAGAGACTACATAACTGAGAAAACTTTTTATAATGCAATCGTTGGCGGTATTGTTCCTATTATAAATGGCCCTACAAAAGAAGATGTCTCGGCAATATTGCCAAATGGATCTTTTATACACATGGATGATTTTGAAAATCAAAATAAATTGGCCGAATATTTGAAATACTTAGATTCTAATGACACGGCGTATCTAGAATATTTTGATTGGTGGAAAGAACCAGGAACTCACGTTATACCTAGATATGGTTTCAATTTTGGACCACAACATGATTACAGCAATTCTTCAGATTGGCTTCAATTTTGGAAACCCGAAGATACCATAAGTGGGGGTGTGAAGGAATTTGAATTCAAGCGATTCGGTCTTTATCATCTATGCAGGAAATTGCGTAATAAGGAACACATAACGACTTCGAAAGTAATTGCAGATCTCAACCAGTGGTGGTATGGAACTGAATCGAAAGAATGCATCCGGTAGACATGACCCTATAAAATGTAGAGAGTTGTTTTCATTTTAGTAATGGGGACGTAATAAGGAACGCATAACGACTTCGAAAGTAATTGCAGATCTCAACCAGTGGTGGTATGGAACTGAATCGGAAGAATGCATCCGGTAGACATGACCCTATAAAATGTAGAGAGTTGTTTTCATTTTAGTAATGGGCACGTAATAAGGAACACATAACGACTTCGAAAGTAATTGCAGATCTCAACCAGTGGTGGTATGGAACTGAATCGGAAGAATGCATCCGGTAGACATGACCCTATAAATGTAGAGAGTTGTTTTCATTTTAGTAATGGGCACTTTTTTATACCATCATAGTATTTATTCACTGTAAATGTTTTCTAAATCTTGTAATTGATCAGCACTAACAGAAAGTGGAACACTGTGAAGACATGATGACATTATCTAGTTAGTTGCGCCCAACAGTTCAAAGTGATTCTCAATAACGATTCGTAGAGCCGCATGCGGCTATCATCTATTCTTTCTGCGGCTCTCATTATCCTTTAAAATTTGTATTACAAATTAATCAACGACTTGAAATTGAAAGACTGAAGTGCAGTAGTTGAATTGATGTCATCGTAGCTGTTAGGTCGTTTTGAGTGCAACTTTTTATCATGACTCCATAGTGTTGTTTCTCACAATGGTTTTAGCCTACGTTTTAATACTCTGATTTCACTGTTTCCAGTAATCACAATCAGGCAGGCTATCCCGTACACTGTGAAAAGTTAGGGTATTTGGGACAAAATGTCAAGTACACCTTCAAAAAAGCTGTCTTTATAAATATAATCGAGCGATTCAATGTTATGCGAAAGAGAAGTATTTTTAAATTGAAATATATATATATATGTATATTATTATGAAAATATGAAGCTATAGCTAATGTTATATATATATATTTCACCCACCATCACAATGAAAAGCAAAGGTCAAGTTAATTGGTATTACGCTAAGTTTTGTTGACGTCGTTATTTTAAAATACATAACTTACTCGCGTTTTGTTGCTATTTCAATTTGCGTTGTTTTTTATGCGGCTCCTTACAACATTCGAAATTTGTCTCTAACACTAAAAAACGTTCAGAACCACTGGTTTAGACTATCAGTTGTGGTTGCGATGTTAGTCCTAATTCTATCTAATAATTTATGAGGAAATCCAGTAGTATAAAAATGTGACTTATGCGCGAGAACATCGGAGAGTTGCTGTTTGTCACAGTGCCGTATGTATTGTACTGTAGGGCGATTAAAATGGTGTATCATTCCATGACGATTAAAAACATGCAGCATATAATCCAAAGATTGTATTAGATTATGGACAAGGTTGAACACCTGAATTTTTTTTCTCATGGAACCAAATAAAATTAGGTTAATTGGGTAATTCATGCCGTATGAGGAAAAATTAGGGTTACTAGATTGGCCATGTGGGTGTATAGGCATCAAGTATGGGCAAAAATATTCGCACTGCCGTAAACTTGACTTGAAACTTAACATTAGCCTTGCCGAAGTTTGTCAAAGCAGGCGCAATCGTGGAGGATGCAGGGCAAAGAATCTGTTTGAAAACATTTTGCTGAAAATCCCTTCTTCGCGTACGTAAGTTGATTCAAATGCAGAGATACTTTTCAGTACGTTGGCTAACAGGTTGGGGTATATCCCTACGAACTCATTATTTTCGACGCATTAGACATGTCCAAAGAACATCCGACAAGATTAATAAAGTATCCTGAAATTCATGAAATATACCTTTCTTTTGTGTCTTTTGTTGATGCGTGAATGAACTGTAACGTGAAATATTCCTCATAAATCTTAATTTTTTTGCATGACTCATAAATAAAGACAATTGTTCTGTATCCTTCAAAGTTTTTTGACGTGTCAAGTGCGACCAAGCAACAAACATAAGTTTGGACGTTTGAGAAACTGATCACTTCAGTCGTTGAATATATATTTAATGCGTCCCTGAATATAAGGCTGTAATTTTTGGCTTGAAATTTAAACATACCTATTTGCTGCTTGTGTGCTGACTTGAACGACATCAATTCCTCTTCCTTCAATATTTCCCTTTCCAATCATATGGAACATCCGATTTTCTTGCGCCAGAGTGCAAGCTTTTTTTGGGGCACAATCAAACAATCTGGAAAGTCGCTTCCGAAAGAATTAACATCTACGATAACATCAATTCAAGTACTAGATTTCAGTCCTATTGTTCTATAATTATAAGTCTTTAATTAATATACAATGAAAAATATGAATGAAAAATGAAAAATTGTCAAAGAAAATGATTGACTTTCAAAAGGTTGAAGCGGGTAAAAATCGCTGTTCTAGATGCATGTATAGGCAAAGATGATCCCTATCTACGTGTTTTTATTTTATTTCCGGTACTATTTTATACGTACTCAGAGGAATAATTCCTAGCTGAACTCTTTCAGGGGTCAAATAAGCACACAATAGGTTGCAGTGCCACAAGTTGCACGATCCAATGGAACAGTTTAAAATACCAGATAACGGAGTACACTCAAATCCTTGATACAAGTTACAATTGAAATCCGATTACGAACTATATATAACTGGAAAACGATAAAACGAAGGCAAGCAATTCGTGAACGAGGTTGGAAGATACATCTTCAATTTTTTCGCATAAAACGTTGCATGAAAATGATCTTGTGGAAAATGATATCGGGCAACGATCTTGCTTCAGTCAAATAACATGCGCTTTTATCAGTGAGTGTTTAAAAGTATTATATTCCTATGTACCTACACATGAACCAAATTGTGCAAAACAGACGATGGAATACGATCTTGTTTCATTTCCAAATGGATATACCATACATATGTCAATTATTCGAATAGAGAAACTCAGCTTACCATACGGAGAGTCCAGAAAGCAGAACGATGTCATGGATATGGCGACGTGGTAGAATTACAAAGACATATTGAAATGATATCAGCAGTGAGACTAATTTAAGCAATATACAAGAAGGGTTATATTTTGGATGTATTGTATTGAAATAAATATATTTGGTCACTTAATGAATGAGTAAATCAGTATGTGTTAAATTTAATTTAGGTTCACGCATTCTCGAATAGATAAACTTGAAGCATGAAATAGTGCAATGAGGGACAAATCGCTGATTTACTTTGTATATATATTTTTTGAAATATTAATATGAGTGCATTTTTTAGTGACAGATTTACCATTGTACAGCACGAAATGCTATTTTGCGAAGTGCTTTTTATTTCACTTTTTAAATAAAAAATAAAAATAGAAAAAAAAGAGTGTATAAAAAGAGTATATAAAAAGATGTTAAAGAAGACTCCATTTTTTTTGTGACTAACGAACGATCAATGTGATAGCTCATCCCGTATCATACCCGCATGTTCTGGTCCGTATTCTAGGCGCAATCATTATTCATTGGTATGCTCAAAATAAACTCAAATATTTTGTATTATGTTGAATAGAGAAAATATACACTTGAGTAGAATTACTTGATCAAGTCGTGTTTCCAGCCGATAACAATCAATTGCCTCCGCTGAGATTGTATATTTTAAGGTTTTCAACCATACCAGTAAGATGTTAAATCAATATATACCTATCATGTACAAAATATATAGATGGATGCAGTGGTGGGATTCAAATTTTTTGTCAGCCGGATCCATCACAACAGTCATGTTTTTCAGCCGGTTCTGTTACAAAAAGTCATATTTTTTTAGCAAATAAACTGATGTTTTTTATTTACTTCCTAATTAACATTCAAAGTAATGATTAAGTGAGCATCATTATGTCAAAATTAGCATCGAAATTTTTGATGATGTTGAGGATCGTCTATATTGCTGTATATCTTATATACTCGTTGATAATGAACTTAAAAACCTGGAGGTGTATGATCTATCGAAAACACACTGCATTTATAAAAATTAACACAATGTATAACAGTTACGTGTGAACTTGATCATTTCACATTTTGAAACAAACACGTGAGCTACTTGATCTCAAAAATCGGTGTGTCAGATAAGATGAAAAAATCCATTGACAGTAACTAGTAATGCTAACCGGTTCGCTGATCTCAAAAAATTCTCCGTGAGACGGTTCTATAGAACCGGCTGAATCTCACCACCGGATGGATGTAATTTTACTGTGTATATGATGGAGTGATAGTAAAGTACAAATCAAAAATTTCTATATGGTCAAAACAATATCATAAAATTGAGTGACGTATAACTTATCTACCTGGAAAAGACGGGGGTAGATCAGTCAAAGGTTAACTATCCGAATACGATCTGTTTCGTGAAAAGTGCAAAAAATTCATTTACCTTTTTTTATCGTCGATGTTTTTTTTTGTTATTTGGCTTTGCTTCCTTGAATCAAGTGAGTAACCAAACTCTCATATTAATTCACATTATTGCCACACATAATATGTTAATATAAATCATCATGTAAATTACTACTGCCGGATATAAACGACAATGTAATTTGTATAGCTAGGGCAACGCATGTTTTACTTCAGGTACATATAAAATATATAATGGCTTCTTCTTTGGCGATATATTGAGGTAGACATAAAATCGCACATTTGCACTGCTGACGGTAAACCATGCGATTACGCTAATCTGTTTATGTTTTTGCAGTAAAGCGAAACTTTTTGAGGGGAGCGAAATGCCTGACGGCGTTATCGTTCCTACGCATTTTCTACCGTACTTATGTTAATTTAAATATAGGAGAGCGTTAACCGCAGTTCTGAGGCAATCGTGCAAATCGTCGAACAATTGTAGTTTCCAAACGCAAAGCGCCAGCATCAGCGAATTAGCAATAATCGAGTTTTGGGTTGAAAATTATTCACGTTACGTAGTATAATATGGTTTAGATACAGCATGTATGTCATTATACTCAATTTGCAGAATTCCCAGTTTATTCACCTAAAACATCGCTTCAAGTTTCAGTGGATATACAGCACATACTGCAATTTTTTTATTTAGTATAATTTATTTTATATGTAAATTTACCAAATAAAATCACAAGATTCAATTCTAATTACAAAAAAAACTGACTAATAATGCGCTGTATATAGTCTATTATATTGAGATACTCTGTCCAATACATATAGTGCGATATTTGAAAAAGTTTTAGCAATGAACAGTACATCGTCCGGAGTCGATGAAGAGGTCGAATTATCAAAATTGGTCGTCGGTAAGTTGTTATTTTGGAGAAAAAAAGTTCTAGTTTATAATGTGAAAATGCAATACTGTAATACAATGCACAAAAATCTATTCGATAGATCGCGCAAATAAACGGATGGAATGGATTAAAAGCATTGACCATGCATGTACCTCGTCATTTTAATCAGAATAACCACATAAGGTTAATTTTCATTTATTTCAGCTGAACATGAAGATTCAGCATTGTGCCATAATTCCGATGTAGATAAAAAGAAAAAGGTAAGAGGCATGAATTAATTTAACACATATTCTATGTTCTCAAATTCACAACTCGTACAACCATTTAACATGATTCAAACCAGTTAAAAGTCGCATTGAAATCAGACAAGTCACAGTTGAAACAACGAAACCTCCAATTCTCGTCAACAACTAGATTGAATAAAGATTTGATCATTATCATTTGACGGTGAAGAATAATTGTTGTTCAAATTATTTAGCGACGTGAATTATGCTACTTCGAGCTTATACAATTATATATAAACTATAGGGTTATTCGAATGTTTGACTACAAATCCCTAATCATTATATTTTATCATATCCTCTCAGGTATGCAATATTCACTTTAAATTTTTTTTTTAATTGAAAACGTATTACACATAGAATTATAAGCATATATGATTGGGTATCGGTCAGATCTGAACAGTCTTGAGTCACGAATATATATAGTTTTTGAATATATTCACGTTTGTGTTAACGCCATAAGCAATGAAGGTTAACGATAAAATGCTTGCAATGTTGCGTCATCGAATATTTGGGTTCCGTATTTCTTCGGAAAGTTCCCAACGTGACAAAGCCTGCCACTTGTCGAAGAGCGATGGAAAATTGACAGATCGATATTCAAGTTGGATGCTCCCATGGACTCATTCAATAAAGTTTTTCAGCACATTAAGCACGACTATACTAAATAACTTATAAAGTACATATAATATTCGTCGTTTTTGAAAAAAATGAACTATTTCTAATCTAAGAAGAAAAGATTTCGATAACCAGTTCTATGGAAGTATAGCAACAATTGCAAATGATTATGACAAATCGTGGTGTTATCTACGCCATCATTTGTTGACTACACTATTCGAATAAATAAATAAAAATTATATTTTTGACTTCCAGACGGGGACAAAACCTAGACATATATATATCAAATTTTTCTGGACACTAATGATCGCGTGGACCCGCAAACCTGGGGGACGCTGCAATAAATTATAAACTAAAATAAAACTTCAAATTTGGCAGTTAGATAACATAGTAAAATAAAGAAACAGGCACCGTACTATTTTATTGGTAAATGAAACAAACTAATATATATTACTAACTTTACAGAATCACAAGGCGAAATATCCTAAGCACGTCTTTCTCATTATCGGAAATGAATTTTGCGAAAGATTTTCATACTATGGAATGAGAAGTAAGTGAGCTAACGTAACTACTAAATCTTATTGGAACATAGACATGTTGTAATTGCCTCGAACCACCATCCTATATCTACATTACATTTCAGCTGTTCTTGTTCTGTATGTCCGAAATTTCCTCGGATTTGGAGACGATGACGCGACGACACTTTTCCATGCATTCACCATGCTTGCATATTTTACACCATTGATGGGAGGAATCATATCAGATTCAATGTGGGGAAAATACAAAACAATCATCATTCTTTCTATCGTATACATCGCGGGACATGGATTTAAAACTGTCGCAGCAATACCGTATATTCCTCAGAGGAGTGCTCACATGTAGGTAGAACTTGATACTTTTATTTGGATACACGTATCACAACTATAAGGATGCTAAGTATGACAGCTTACAAGTATTCGATTCCTATCAGATTCCTAAATTTTCGATTCCGATTCCTCGACATATCTTACCGAGAAAACATACCCACCTATCCAATACCATATGAAATCAAACAAGACGGCGATGTTCAAATATAGGGACAAACAATAAGGCCAAAACTAAGTATAGTATGGGTATCTAATCTGTCACAGGAGACAAAATCGCACAAAAAAGAATCCCTCAGAACCCACAGAGATTTTAGATATAAATAAACGTAGAAGTTTGCGTCGTCGTAGCAACTCAACATAGCAGTAAAGCAGTTTATACTTATATGTGGTAGAATTGCCACAAAACGTTACGCATTGTTTGCAATCCAAGTTTGAACGTCGAGAATGGATTCCAATGCATCGGAATCGATTCTAGTTGATTCCGAGAAGAATCGATTCTGTAATCGAAGCCGGACTCGATTCCTCCATCTCTAATCACAACCAACAAATGAACCCAATTTTCACTTTTTTGAATTTAGAGCTTTATCCGTTATCGGATTACTGCTCATTGCTGTTGGGACTGGTGGAATCAAACCTTGTGTTTCCAGCTTTGGTGGTGATCAATTCCAATCAGGCCAGGTAAGAAGATCTACGAAATAACGTTAATTTTTGGCAACATGGGATTTATCACAATACAATGTTTTGATGTCGGGCATTTGTAATCTGTGTAACACCTTTTCTATGTATCCTGGCAAATACAGGTGTCGCATAAGGGCAAGTGCAGTTTTAAGTATTCTGTGGCATCTGCAGCTGCCGCAAAACCATGGCGGTTTTTCCATACCCTGGCCGCTACGACCAAACTCATGGCAACTGACTTTTTAGCTGCCACAAACCAATGTCGAGCTGCCGTCACCGCGGCAGCAAATTGAAAACCAATGGCAGGTAAAATTTTGCTGCCGTAACCGCGGCAGGTGGGCCGTAAAGACAGGGCTGTCTATTATGGAGACAAATATTGTGTAAGTTGGAACGTTTTTCTTATGGATACAGTTTTGATTGATTTGGGGTCAGGGTTAAGGTTTAAGTAGATATAATTCCACATGATCAATTAAAATCTGGTACATTAATTTGTGAATATACCGTTAATACTGATTACTGAATACGGAATAGTGCTATAAAACCATGGCAAGAGCTGCCGCGGTTCGTTCGTGGCAGGAGCTGCCATGAAGTGGTAAGAACTGCGCCTCCATAAGGGGGTGACTGAAACATCTGGCTGTTCTTTAATTCTTGGAAAACTATTCAAAAACGCGCAACTCTCAGTGTGTCCTCCAATGCCACAAATATCAAAAGATGTTGTTCAATGAAATTTGATATATTGAAATAAATCCAGTAAAACAATTCACAATGTAGAATGAGGTTAAAGCGGTGTAGGAAAGGTAGTGTACGAATGTAGCGTAACGATGTGTTGCGTAATGATCCAAATGTTGCGTATGTTGCGGTTTTCTAAATTTAAATAAAGATATTCAAATACAGATCATGTAAAACAATAATGCATTGAAGCACTTGCAATCTTAAATAAGCAAGTAAAGTAAATATTATTCAGACACTAACAAGTAATTTTGATCACAAATTAATATCAGACCAATACAGCACTATGAGGAAAATATTAACAGAACCAGAAATGTAGAACAACAAATTGCAATCTTACCGAAACGTTTTGAGCCAGGCAATAGCAAATTAAACTTCAAAATATACAGGAACAACTTCTCCAATTTCAGTTCAGAAATCAATCAAATAATAGTCTATTTCTGTCTTAGTTAAAAGTCTACAATAAAAGTTACAGCAGTTAAATGTTCTACCAATATAAGCCATATAAGCCTGAGGAACGAGCAATTAATTATCCCTACAACCAGACGTTAAACGTTATTTATATAATACATTAAAACCAATCCTTGCGAATAAAAAAGCAACAACTACCGTCAAAACACGGCAGCGAGTCATGTGAGAGCGAGGCAAGATTAGACTTGTCCAGCGAGAGTCAATTGCAACATGTGTTGACATCTGGAACTTTCTATTTGTAGTTTCACTTTAGGAAAATCCCCATTGATAGTAGATAATACCAATTTTCGAATTTACAATCTGTTATTCTTAGATGTGGAATAAACCATACTTTTAGAATTTGCAGAATAAGTCCTTTATATAAAGTAGGATCTTGCGATCTTCAAGTACAGTGCTTGTTTTCTGATGGTACTGAATATTGATGACATTTTTAAATTTCAGGACGTCTACAGAAAACAGTTTTTCTCTCTTTTTTATTTCACCATCAATGCTGGTGCGTTACTAGCAAAAATTATCATGCCAATATTTCGTGCTGATTTAAAATGCTACCCTGGAGAAGAAAGCCCATTGTTCGAAGAGTGTTATTCGGTTGCGTTTGGTCTTCCTGGAATCTTGATGATTATAGCACTTGGTATATTACACTTTTAAATCTTTGAAATGATATGTGAAAACTGACATTATTTATTCTGAGGTACAGGGGTACTGAGCCGATAATATTGAAAACTTATTTCTCACTTGCAATAATTTATTCTGAATATGAACGGACAGCTAGAGTGACCAAAGCCATCTGGAAACGACAAACAGAATTTTCCCTTAACTTCTTCAAAATGAAATTATTGCGGAATTCGTCGATTTTGCTTTATACACCACCCCGGATAATGTGTTCATTCGTGTTTTTTTTTTTTTTAGTTCTCCTAGTTTTTGGATCATCGAAGTACACAAAGACCCCGCCATCAGGAAGCATATTTTTGAGATTTTGTAAATGCATTTACTCCGCTTGCAAAAACAGATGGAATACGAAACCGGCGGAAAGAAACAAAGCTCATTGGGTTGATTACGCTGATGCCACGGTGACGAAAATATTCAAGTTTTGAATAGGATATTTTTAAGGTTACGAATACCCGTGCATTTATCGTCGACTATATCACTCGCGCTAATTGTTTGGTTCAAATAAAACAGTGCGTATAACGCTCTGTTTGTTAACATTTCAAAAGAGCTAACTTGTATTGTGTCAATCTTCGAAGGTCACCTCCAGTCTTCACTGAATTTCGAGGGTGAAAATTCTCTCGCTCGTGTTGTTATTTTTTACCAATTTTGAAAATTAATTTGCATTGGAATCAGATATCTTTAAAGTTTTACTAGTTTAATTCTAAGTGAATCACGGCAACGCATGAAGAGTTGCCCGACAAGGTCTGATTTTAATTTTATCACCAAGACGCAGGTAAAATGAAGGCAATTTGGAGACAAAGTTGTCAAAAAATTATTCGACGTTGTTTGCATATGTATGCAGAGAATTTTAGGAATAAAAGATTCGGTAACCGGATCACAACCATTTCAAGACCTTTATGATTGAAATCTTTTTAAATATCACATTTCCTAGTCTCAGCTGTCTCTCCGCCTAAATCAATATTGTGTTTTGTGCATAGGTGATGTCACATTTTATTCAGCCTTTATAATAAAAATGCGTTTTAACTTTTAGTCAAGAATGAAGCGAGATACAAAATATGTGCTGGGAGTACTTGTCATTTTTTCTCCGCTTCCTTTGTTTTGGGCATTGTTTGACCAGCAGGGATCAAGATGGACACTTCAAGCTTTACAAATGGATCGGTACTGGGTAAGAAAATTACTTTTAAAATATAGCAATATATATTATATATATATATATACAAACTCGTGAAAAAATTGATGTACCGAAAATAGCATTTAACACACCGGTGTTGTTTTATATCTCAGTAATTTAAACAAGGTATGGATGTAGGCCTCCAGCATCAGTACGGACTACATTATTTTTCAGGGAAGCTATTTGATAAAACCGGAGCAAATGGATACAATTAATCCTATACTGATCGTCACTCTGATTCCATTATTTGAAGCAACTCTTTATCCGTTATTACGACATTATAAAATTCCATTTACATCCATAAGAAAAATGGGAGCCGGACTTATTCTAGCTGGATTATCGTTCATTGTGACAGCGATGGTTCAATTTGAAATCGATGTAAGTAGCTCAGTTTGAAATTTTTGTTTGTTGTCACTTGGTTTTGTTGTATTGAGACGATTTCACACTTGTTGAATGCTTCTTATGTTAATTTTTTTGAAATTTAAAAAATATTTAGTAACTTTATCACCACCATAGTATCGTTGCTAAGCAGTAGGTATAGTAAAGTTATGAATTTTGAACATTAGCGAACGTGTACTCAACCCGTCCCAAAATTCGAATGTTATTGTTTTTAAAATCAGAATGCAACGGTCTTGTAACACACAATTACAATTGCTTCACCAATACCTCAGGTACACGCTGATTTTCCTATATTTTGTCATGTGATTCATAGATACATAAATTTATATGTGTTTAGAAAACGCTGACACCTCTGCCAAGTACAGATCAATTTGCTGTGAGAATCATAAATACTTCACCACACATTATTAACTTTAAATCGGACCATTCAATCGTCGATGCTTTGATATTGAAACCAAACGAGGTAAGTGAAGTGGAGAAGTTCAAACACGATACAACGTTAAAAAAAATTACTATGCTTGGCCGAGAAAAAATTTGTTGTAGAAAATAATTTTATGTCATTCTAGCATTCGTAAAGCAGTAAAATGTAACAAAATATAAACAGAAATAAGCTACAATACGAAATAAGTATTGTTATATATAGTTTGTCGTTTGTTTTATTAGGTTAGTAAGACACAAACGGAATTCATGGAGACGAATGAATGGAAATTCTTAAACTTGACGTATTCAATTGAAAACAAAGAATCGTCAAGTCAATCAATATCCATTGCTGTTAAGCCTTCAAAAATAACAGAAGTAGTCATCTCAGGAGAAGATGCAGATATATGGTTTCAGGTAATAATTTTTACTGGCATTCATTTTTGGGAAGCGGAAATACAGATCATGCTCAATATGGTTCATAACTCTATTCTTTAGCAAACAAATTTAAGCCAGTGTTTCTCAACGGGGAGGAATTATATACGCCATTGAGATATTTGGCTGCTTTGGCAGAAGAATTTTGTTGAACACATAATAAACTACTTAAACTGCACAAAAACGAGAAAGCGACTTGCACATAACACTAAAAATGATCCATTAAAGATTAAACAATCAAAGTACGGTAGCTTTATGCACAGGAAGAGGAATAAAGAGTTTCAAAATAGGCAAATGGAGTAATTTAACAAAGAAGGGTTGGGAACCACTGGATTAAATAAACTATAGACTTTGCATAAATCTATTTCTTCTTCACGACGAAAAAAGGCATTTGTCAGCATTGAAAATTCTGATCTTTTCGTCTCAGTTTGTGGTGCAATCTTTTCGATATATACATTTTCAACTTCTATTGCATTTAATATTATTATTTAAATGCAAAATTGATGTACTGCATCGTTTAAACTTTTTATATACAGAAGTATATATATATAAGGTAATTTTAGAAGGATGACTAAATCAAGTTTTGAGAACAAAATTTTATTTACCTTCATTCTTCTCGTACTTGGTACTTGGGATTATTATTCTACCTTCTTACTGTGTATCCGTTTTTATTTGATCACAGTCCGATTTGCTGAGCAAACAACCGGAAGATGGATCGGGAATAGTAGGATTTGTAAATAGTGATCGAGGAAAATATTATGTAAAATTTGATGACGATCCTGGATTGACAATGCAATTAGAACCAATGTCAAGATCACGTGGAATAAGACTTCCTGTGGGAAGGTATAAATTTGTGTCTGGGGATGATAAAATAACATTATGTGTTAACTTTTATGCGTAGGAATTTTGCTTTCACTATATTTTCATCTCTGTCTCCACTCGGGAGTGCTTTAGGGAACAGGAAGTTGAGATTATAAATATATATAACTTCCAAACGTTAATGAGAAATAATACTCGTATCTGTTTTTCTTTAGTAATTATTATTCTGTTTACGATATTGGCGAAACCGGAAACAATACTAAGGAAATGCTTTTCAAAGGCGAAGTTGACATAAAGTTAAGTGGAATATACAGTGTTGTTCTTATAAGCTCAAAACATGAAAAGGTTGGTCAAAGATCATTGTTTTCAGATGATTTGAGATTTCGATTTAACGCTCAATTTCGTTAATGAGTGTTCTTGTACTAATGCTTCATCTTTGTATGCTTGTCTCTTATTTAATTAGAAAAACATACATTCCATGGAATACGAAAATGCTAATCAAATAGAGGACGTCAATCACTTTCGCGTCAGTGTTGCATGGATGATACCACAATATGTTTTAATCACGGTTGGAGAAGTATTTCTATCGGTGACAGGACTAGAATTCGCATATACCCAGGTATGCCTATAAGAAAGCCACTGGTGATAAAAAATAGCACAGGGTGTGGGGTAAGTTTTGTGACGTTTTATCCACTTTTGCCAATTTATTTTAACTGTAATTACCTCCTTCCAATCAGCAGTTGTTTCATTTTACTGTCGAGTTTTAAGGCGCCTAATCTAAAAAGCGGCATTTGAAATAAAACATGCTACATTCTCTCTATTTGAGAATCGTTGAGGTTTGAATATTCAAGCTCAACCCTATGACACATACAAATGAATAATTTTTAAACAAAATATACATTTTAATAGGTGCGTATGCCACGGACATGCTGAATGAGTAGCTTGTTGTGAGATTCGATCTGTTAAGAAATTTCGAAATTACCTCGTTTATTCCTATTTTCAAGGCTCCACCGAATATGAAGTCGGTTATGACAAGCTTTTGGTTATTAACAATTTCTCTTGGAAACGTTATCGTAATTATGGTAGCTCAGATGAAATCGATCAAAAGACAAGCTCACGAGTTTCTGTTGTTCGCCGGGTTGATTGGTATAGCTTCAATTGTATTCATATTCCTTGGACGCAGGTAAATTCATTGGCCGTACTGGTTTGGTTCAAATTTATGTCTATTCCATTATTCGAAAGCATGAGTCTGATCTGACTAATCAGAAAGTATTATGCATATCTTTTTCATTCTGATTGAATAGTTTCATCTTCGCGGAGTAACCTATCTTTTGAATAGATAGACTACGCTATAGGAGTCTTTGATAGGATTGTACGCAGGTGTAATATTCGAAAATTAAAAGTTCCTGACCGGTTCAGCAGTAACGTTTAATCGTACTATTCAGGTACACTCCAGTCGATGAGGATGAGTTTGAAAAAGATAAGATAGAAGATGCGGAAGAAGATGTACAGATATAATGCAAAACACAATGATGATTTTATTCGCGAACATGCTCATATCCCACATATATATTTCATTATTTTTTTTAAATAAATACTAATGCTTTAGATTAGCGGTTCCCAAATTATGGGTCGCAAAAGGAAACTTAGTGGGTCGTGAAAAAAAGTAGTAAGCTTTGATTAATTATATTGGCTATTAGGATCGGTGGCGACTCGAATACGTGAATCTTCAAAAAAAAAAAAAATCAAATTGAATTTAAATCTGTGGAAGTTTCCTTTTTACGATCTCCTCAAAGGAACAAAAATTTGCTACACAAAGAATGACCATGTGGCTTTTTTACGCATTGCAGTTTTGTACACTGTACAGCACTTCTTACCGTCTTTCCCCGAAACTGAGACATGATTTAGATTTATTTTCTTTTGAAGAATAACACTACGTTTTTTTTGGAAGAAGTCTCCTGTGTTCATTTATCAAAAATAAAATTACACTGTAGAAAATCACGAGATTTTTCGATAAACATTGTATAAAAACCGACATCCATTGTTTTTATTTGTATTTCCTATATAAAAATCAAGTGACAAATATCATAATTGTGATTGTGACATCACACAATCTTGAATAGTGATGTGATCTCCACCTTACCCCAAGTCAATGAACCTTTTCTCTCCCACACATTTTAAATTCATTATAAGGGTAGGGTTTAATTAAAATCAAATAGCTCACGTGTTTTTTCAAAATGTGAAATGATAAAGTTTGCACGTAACAATTATACTTTGTGTTAATTTTTATAATTGTAGTAATTTTCCTTTTGTGATTGTTTGTCTGAAAATTGAATTGTTACGTCATAGATACAAGTCAAGAGATGACAGACAAGGAATTGATGACAATCAGGTCGCTATTTGGAAATATTTGATGTATAAACTGCAAAATTTGAGTTTAATTTCAGTAAACTTTTTTTTCTTTGTTAAAGATTTCTTGGGTTTATTTTTTTTATAGAATAACAGCATTTTTATAGAATATATATCAACATTCAAGCATGTATTTTCAGTAATCATACACTTTCAGGTTTTTAAGTTCATTATCAACGAGTATATAATATATACAGCAAGATAGACAATCATCAACATCATTAAAAATTCCGATGCTAATTTTGACATATTGATGCTTACCTAACCATTATTTTGAAATGTTAATTAGGAAGTAATTAAGAATAATCAGTTCATTTGCCCAAATAATATGTAGCAGAATCGGCTGAAAAATATGAATTTTGTGATGGAAACGACTGACAAAAAATTTGAATCCCACCAGTGGGCCTACAATATACCCAAGAAGCGGGAATAAAAGTTGTTATTATATGCTCTGAGGGATATGCTCCGCCACTCAAAAAACATTGAAATCAATAATGAGCATATATATGCATTATTTATGCCACTCTATTATCCGGTTAATCGTCACAATTATATCCGGATATCAGATAGCAAAATCAGTCATTCGGATAATCATTTATCCAACCCTAATTACAATGCCACTGCGTCGTGAAATCGACCCGTGTTATCAGCTCCGATTGAATCCGTGTTTTCTGAGAATTTACAGATATTCTGAAATTGACTTCCTCATCTATGATCCAAAATGTAGATGCTACGTTAGGAATCGCTCTTCATGAAAGTCGGGCTCATGCAGATTTGGCCCCGCAGGCCCGCCCAACCTTTTTAGTGTCGCGGGCCACTTTCACATGAAGAAATTCACTGCGGGACGCAAACGTTTTCACTTGACTGATATACCAGCTGATTCACGTGAGTTTACATAATACCCAAAAGCAAGTTTAATTGCATAAAGTCAATGATTACTGCAAAATATTCGAATATATAGCGGCTCACAATTCAATACCAACTGTTTAACACGTGACCTGGACATGACACGTTAGTTGCTCGTCACTGCACCAAACGCTTGCATTGCACAACTCACTTTCTGATTTCAGACGAGCACACGAGAATCTGGACACATTTTCGTCAACAAAGATGTCAAAATAGAGTGTTATATTTGCGTTATGTTTAAATTTAATTTCTTCCAGTGACTAAGATATTGTTTCAATTTTTAAATGAACATAACTTGCGTCAATATCGCGTGAGTTTCAATAACTTTTTAGTGGTCTGTTTTATAAATTTCGAAACATCAATACCTAATAAAGTAACTTTTTTATGATTTCTGAATGAATATATTAACTTGAATGAGTAGAAATGCTATTGAGAATAATAATTTAATAAAATAATATTTTTTAGATATTTATCGGATAGACTGTGACCGTATTTAAGAAGTATTTATATTTTATAACGCAAAAATAACACAGATACGAAAGAAACAGAAACGACCAAAGCCAACACGAAAGATCATATTCACAATAACATTAATTAGGTTGCAGATTCATTTTCATAATTGTCTTAGACCCGTAGAATAATTTACTATTCTAGAATAGTTGAATAGTTTTTTGAATTTATCGGCGACTAAAATGCAACGAACACTCGGTCAAACGTGCGTCTATCTTGAAAGTTAAAAACAGACCGAAAATGCGTGATCTTTTGACAGTGAAATTTAAATGTGACAGATTGTCGTGTTTTGCGATATAACTTTGTATTTCGGAAAATAGCGTAATAATATTAATCGCAAGCAATGTTATAACTTTTAACGTTTGGTTTATAGCATTTTACTGGGAAAACTCGCTGGTCGCGAAAAGTCATTTATTGTAAAATGAAGCAAGGCATCCGTAAACAATTAGATTGTTGCCATGAGATTGTCGGAATATCGCAGTAAGTCGTGCGATAACGACGGTCTTCGGCGTGAGGTGTACTTTGCTGTCTTCTTGTCTGAATATGCCGATTGATATTACCGTGTTTGATGTTTACCGATTTTACGGGTTCTTTGTGAGCAGGCGCAAGCTTAATTAAACGAGAGAGATTTCCAAGCGAGAAAAAAACCGAAATTGAGGCATTGCGTTGGAGAGGCGGAAACCGAATCCTGTTGGATTCGAATACTTTAGGATTCGGTATTCTATATTGCCCCTCCATAACAAATAAAACTGACATTTGGATGTAAATGGCGAAATAATCAAGCCAAAATCACAACCCCCCCCCCCCCCCCTAGTCTATAATAATTGAAAAGTCTGCTTAGGTCTAAACTCATTATATTTCGGGCCACAGTAGACAGCATGGCGGGCCGTGGGTTGGGCAGCCTTGGCCTACAGGTGAAGAAAGCATTTCGTGCGCCGAGGCTAATCAATGTAACACACAAGAAACAGACAGAAAAATACACGACAGTATTTATGTTGAATTAATGATTGTAATGGCACACTCCAATACACAAGATATAATTCCAATTAACACTGGTACAATAAAAATAAATTAGTTGAAAATTGTTGTACGTCGAGAACGTGAAATTAGAATGTTCTAATATCTTTCAGTAAGTCTACCACTACTTGAAAGTTTTATTTCACGCGAATATGTTTCGCCATCTATTAAAATGAGATGAAGTCTTAACACCGACGGCTGGGAAGAACTAACCTTACAAGACATTTTGAATATATTTTTCTATTTTAAAAATCACCGTGCCAAACAGCACCAATACAACGGCAAAAGTCACGTCGTAATTCTGAGTGGTATACATTTGTGAATATTATTTCTTCATATTAAATATTCATATACTGGATAACTGCTTGCATCTAGTCTCGAGTCAATAAATATTTGATAACTGTTTCCAGCTCTTGGCACGCCGGTCGTCGCTAGCAATTTTACTTGCTTTGGGAGTGAATAGTTGTATCATGATCTAAAGTTCTGAACTAATAGTCATTAAATCACGGGCTTGAATTAAAATGCCAGATGCAATGGGTCTGGGTCTAATTTATATCCGTCAACTTTTAGAGTATTACGTCGAAAGGAAGGCCATAAAATAATAATGGCGTGCCTCGAAGTCGGGGAATTGGGGTACGAGAATCAAAACAACTATGCGAATAAATAAAAACGGTTAAAATTACTTGAGCTGAAAAATCAAATAAAAAATGCTACGAGTTTTAAATTTGATGTGTGGTACCACAGGTCTTGTACATGAAAAGATTTCTCAGGTCTCCGCTAAGCTTCTAACAAATGCCAAAATGATACAAACAACTTGCATTTCAAGGTAAATCAACCAATTATAAAGCTGAGAGTGAAGCACAGTGATGTTAAAAAGGTAAATCAAATGAGAAATTAACGAATCATTGAACGAGGTAAAGTTGTACTAGTTCATGAGCTATCATAAGTGTCTGTCAATAAAAGAAATATAAATAATCAGTACCATAATGGCTAATGGGTCAAGTCTAATTAGATCTAGGTGGTAACATATTCGAAAATATATAACTTTTGGGGTTCATTTAATTTGATAGAAAATTGCCAACAAGCAAATACGCTCTAAAAACAAGTAAACTCATTATAAAATAGTAACATATCAAAACAATGAAAACATTTACTGAACAAGTATAGGAGTACCAATCAGGGCACACCCTTGAACTTATTTATATCATACTGAAAAAGCTTCTATTTTATTTTCTAAAAGAAAGATCAACTGTAATTTGAAAATAAATTCTTTAAAAACAAGTGAATGAAAAAAAGATACAAAATCACAAATTGAGAAAATAGACTTGACCATCACAAGGTGAGTTTAAGTTTATTCTACTGTTGTCCGAAAACTCTGTGTCCAATCGGACCTGCATCGTACCGAATAAAATTTCATAATTCAACAAATTGTAAATCAAAAGAAAAAGTCAAATACTACACAAATATTATTAACACTGTAGATTGTATAACAGTTTTACGAGATACCTACAAAAAGAATTCAAGATCTCAATTTGTGATGGATTACACAAGTCCTAAATTCTAATAAAAATAATTTCATGGCATGATCAAGGTAAATGGTGAAAAGTGCATTGTATGGGTATTGCATGATAGTACGAGCTATGTAGTTTAACAAATTACCTCTGCTTTTAATTTCGACAATTGTTTATCTGCCGACTCATAAATCATATTTTCAAACCGAAGCCAATTGCATGTATCGCCTTTTTCCAACATGCATAATTCATGGACAGAATTGCAAAGGTTTGGAATCAGGTGATACAACGCCGCCTTATTTGAGACATTCTTCATTTTCAGTACCATACCACCAATGACTAAGATTTAAAATCGATTTTGAAGTCTTAATATGATCCATTTTCAACAGTTTTCTACACAAATGATAAAGCCCAAATCTTTCTATTTCCATCATGTCATCCTGAATAGCAGAAGTCCAAACATTGTGCTGCGCAACAGTTTGGAAGTCCTCTGGATCCGTTCTATTGTAATTAATAGGCCTAGAACCATAATTAAATCCAAATCTGGGTATGATGCGAGTTCCATGCAGTTTCCACCATTTGAAATATTCTAAATAAGCTGTGTCGTTTGAATCCAGATATACCAAATATTCAGCAAGGGATGTCAAATTCTTGAAACTCTCGATATGTATGAAAGAACCCTTAGGAAGTATTTTTTCTGTATCTTCAATAGTTGGCCCATGGACTATTGGAACTGTACCAGCAACCAAACCATTATAAAAAGCTTTTTCTGTTATATAATCCCTACAATGATAGGAATTTTCAAAAGCCAAATAAAATTTGTAAGGCTTCAAAGTCTGAAATAACACTGTGTAGTTGTAAGGAATTTCAGCATTGGCACATTTTCCAAACTTGTCTAAATGAATATTACCTGCAAAAAGTGAAAGCTCGATTTATAAATGTCTATGTCGAAAATAGGTTAATGCAAACATGGCTAATTTATCTTTCCCAGCTAAAAACATGCAAAATCATTAGAACAGAAATCTCAATTGTACTAACCTAAACGTTCCAGTTTTTCAACCAATTTTAGTCTTTCACTTGCACCCTCTGTAACATCGCAATCGCTAGCAACCCATGCAATCATTCGTGACTTGCTATCTAAAAGTTTTTTCTTTTGAATCGCAAATGACGTATTTGACATTACAGGACGCTTTAGTAGTTTTTTATTCACCATTTCACCTTTCCTGTAAGAAGTAACAAGTTCACCCCGAGTCTTTTGGCAACTATGACACCAAGTAAAGACCTTTATTTCCATGTGGTCAAAAGACATTCTAAAAGCTATTTGATCGAGATACCGTGAGAAAAGATCTCAATTCATTGGATTGTCCAGGATATCAGATTGACTACTGGAGTTGAACCCCTGATCTATTATCTGCAACGCCAAGTAAGGGTCCATAGATTGAACCATTTTGTTACTTAACTAAAACCCAATATTTTTCTGTAGAAGGTATAGTCATCCCTCCAACAAGTAGCTTTTTGATCAATGTTTATATACTTTAACTATCAATCTCAATGGTGGATTTGGGGGGAGCTGACTCTGTTGACCCTATTATGGTTGTACTTGTATCGCTCCCTCCAGTCTATCCCAAATTAATTTGCAAATTTTGTACCATTGCTTGTTTTCTGGTTAATGGAACAATAAAACTCTCTCAGGATACAAGGGATTTTAAGGAAATATCACTCCAGAAGCCAAACTCTTTTAGTTATCAAAACATGATTACGGTAAATTAAAACTAATTAATACCAAATAGTCATTCAAATGTAGTAATTATTCTAGTTACTCAAAACATGATTAAATTAAAACTTGGATCAATAACTACCAAATATCCACTAAAATGCAATAATTATTCAGTTACTCAAAACATGATGAAATTGATCCTGCTTATTACCAAATAGTCAGCCAGATGGAATAGTTATTTTAGTTACCCAAAAATATGATAAAATTAAACATAATAACACTCAAATATTAACTCAAACACAATAATTATTGCAGTCACTCAAAACATAATTAAATTAAAACTAATTATTCATAAATGAACACCCAAATGTAACAATTCAATTACTCAAAACAATAATAATAAAAAAATTAAAACCAATCAAACTCAATAACTATTTTATTTAATTAAAACAGAAGTACATTGAAACCAATAAATCTTAAATATGAACTCAAATGCTATAATTATATTAACTACTCACATCATGATTAAATTAAAACCAGTAACTCTCAGATATCCACTCAAATAAAATAATTATTTGGGTTACTCCAAGCATGATTAAATTGAAACTATTTACTACCAAATAGTCACTCAAATGTAATAATAATTTTAGTTATCAAAACATGATTAAAAAATGAAACCAATTATCCACTCAAACGCAATAATTATTTTAGTTACTAGAAAAAAGAATAGATTAAACCAAGGAAAAGCCTCGTAAATAGTCCTTCAAACCAGTAAATAATTTAGTTACTCAAAACATGATCAGAATTAAACTAATACCTCCTAAATATTCTCTCCCTTTCGCTTTCCTCTCCCCCCGAGATAAATATGTAAATCCCATCCTATCCCATGTAATTGTAAACAAATAATTGCCGCCAAGGATTACTTAGTTGAATAATTAAATAATTTCCTATTCATCCAATCATTTCATGCCTTGAAAATATTGACAGAATATAACATGCCATAATAAAAAAATAACAACACACAATAAAAAAATTAAGAGCTACGCAACACAGTTTATTAATTATAAACTAATGAAAAAAAAGATATATAAGAGTTAATATTCAGAATTAAATTACAAAACAATTTGCATTGTGTGCATCTTACCTTCATTCTATTCTATCTCTTTCCTCTCCCCCAAGATAAATATGTAAATCCTATCCTATCCCATGTAATTGTAAACAAATAATTGCCAAGGATTACTAAGTTGAATAATTAAATAATTTCCTATTCATCCAATCATTTCATGCCTTGAAATATTGACAGAATATAACATGCCATAGTAAGAAAAATAATAACACACAAGAAAAAAAATTAAGAGCTACGCAACACAGTTTATTAATTATAAACTAATGAAGAAAAGATATATAAGAGTTAATATTCAGAATTAAATTACAAAACAATTTGCATTGTGTGCATCTTACCTTCATTCTATTGAGCATGAAACTCAATTGTTATGAATTTTCTCCAAATACTAAAACAATGAGGTACCATATTTGTTACAACAAATATCAAGTTTTAAGTCAATAGGCTATCAGATTACGGGTACTTGGATAGATAACTTAATATGCAATATCTTTATACTTGAGTACAATAAAACGAAAAATGATAATAGATGTAAGTATTTGAGCAGCTGTCACATTAAAAAAAATGAAAAAAATTATTTGATCGAATTTAAAAGTATGAACACAGTCATTCAAGCACAAGAATATATAAGTATTACGTGAAAAAGTTAATAGTAAAATTCTTCTGTGCACTGGAGTTTAACTTTATTCATAGGCCGCTATGAAAGATGAAGCATGTTATTTGTCAGAAGAAAAAGACTAGTATGAATATGAAAATATGATATCAAGATTAGTGATAGTTTGTAAATAAGATGTCCTATCAAACCAAAGGTTCCATATCTTGAGTTCTTACTTCAAACACATTGTCAATCACCCTTTTGAAGGTAAACGACCAAGCCGCGCTGAATCGAAAAGATCTAAGACCAAAAGTTTAGGCCATAGCGGACATCACACCACTAAATATGGGATTATGAATGGAGGCTTTGAATTTCACAAATACCATTTAGCATTTACAATCAGAATGTATTTTATTTGCTCACTTTAAACATTTGAGTTAATATGCAGTAAACATGTAAAGATGAAATTATACATAAAGAATACAGACCTGTCAAACCTATACAGCAAATAGTCCATACTTGGAGTAGGAGCAAACGATGCCAGAATATCTGAATCACGTCGATATGTCATTGTCCAATTAAAATAATTATTAAAATCTTCTAATTTGTGACCATAATAATGCAGAACAGTCCATGGTGATTCGTGAGCCCACCATACAAATGCTTGATGTCTGCTTCTGAATAGAACAAAAATAAGGCTTCTTATCAACATATAACAAAACTGTTAATGGAAGAGACGGTAAGTTCAAATAGACCACGTTATGAAAAAAGTGACAATATAAAAAGAGATACAAGCAGGTAACCTGTAAATATAAACTAAGATATGTTCTAGCAAAAAAATAGGGATTTACTACTAAGCTGAACATATAAAAAAGGAAAAGTAGGGTCATGAGTCATGACCTATGACACACGTAATGACCTCGATTAAATGCAAGGTAAACATTAAAATTCCCTTCTTTTAATGTAAACTCCAGTTTTCCTGATATCAAAATTCTCGAGAATCTGCCAAAGAAAGAAATATCAAGTCAGTATACTAATACCTTTATCTTTCATTAATTGACTTCAAATTTAACTTTATTCTGCAGCTACTAATTTTTACTTTGTACCGAGGCTATTCAAAAACATTGCTTATCTGCCTTTATATAATATATATCAAGATATTGTATCCACCTTGCATTAATTAAAATGTATCCTGGTTGAATCTACTTCTTCCTTAATTAACACTCAAATCTTCCTGTGGTAATAGAAGAACATGTTTCTTATTACTAATGCTGCAAGTTCGATAGATTCACATCACCATTGAAAAATATCTTTCAACTGTCTTCAAATTTCCATTCCAATGTATTGCTCATCCTTAAATAACATGTATCAAAAGTAGATCATCCATCACTATTATCCTGTAAAGTTGATTTTTTCTGCCGTTGCGCGACAATCAATGTGAGACCAATATCCTATGATAAAATCAGGCACATGTGCCTTCACAATTCCAAATACACTTACAGCTGAACTTTAGTATGAATAATGAATTTGAAACAATTGAACATTTGAAACATTTCCAAATAACCCAATTTTTACTTTACTAACATAACCTAATTATATAAATAGAAAATGCAATTAAAACACTGTTTATCTAACTTTCGCATATCATCAAATTCAATCTCTGTAGGCTATCCAGAATAATAATAAAAATTACAAAACCACTAATAAACATCATAAAACCACTATCAGAATGCAGAGTGGTTTTGACAAAGCCTGATAGTGAATATTACTAATTAGGTTCGACAATGCAGCCTACAACCACCATCACAATTTCCAGTAATTTATGCTATGGCCTAATTAAAATGCCTATCGATATAGAACATTTTCCTCCTATTGCCTATAGAATCATAGAACATAAGTATACTCCCGAATGTTAATATAAGCCACAATTTACATTAGTGTAAAACAAGAAAAATACACAACCCATATAGGAAAGTGTGTGATACTGTGATATATAAAACAAAATATCAGTGCAAACCTTTTCCTAGCATTTGGAAGATCTCTACTACTACAAGATTTCATATAAAATAAAATAGCATCACTAGTAGCGTATTCATTTCTGTCCCATGAAACGTCACACCCACCGTGAAAAGCAGGTAAATCTGGTAATGTCCAGTCAATTTTATGGTACTGTTTCGCCCATATTAAAATTTTCGGCCGATAAGAGGCTGTAAAACAGAAACACAAGATCAGTGTATTTTGCCTATAAAATAAACATATTCAGATATTTGATATACATTAATTGCGGTACATAGCGCCACTAACAATTTAAACAGAATTCATCTCAAAATAATAAAAAATTGGAATAAAAAATATTCAGGCATTAGAAATTATTTAAAAAAACTTAAAACTGGAAATAGACTTTTCGGAAAAGTTACCTGGTAAATGAGTTGAATTCCTAAAGACTCCGTGCTCTTCTAGCCTCACGTCGAAGGCAATTATTTGTGGAATACTTTGGTATCTTATGGATGCTAACAGTGATAGGAAAAGAACAGAAAAAACAAAAAGGACAGTCTTCTTTCTCGCGTATACCATGGAATAATCTAACATCACTGTGAATAATATAGTATTTACAGAAAACGTCTGATTGAGTATTACAGGATATAAAAAACACAGAACTTTGCATAAAAAATAGTCATAATTTTTGTTCAATTTTTCGCCAAATTAAAATCCATTGACAATTCTTTATATCCAAATAAATTATATTTATTTAATTTGGTAACATGAAAAATTCCAATCCTTTTCTTCCCTCTATAAATATGAAACTCCCATCCTATTACTGTGTTATATTTACCAGTAGGCATGGACATATAGAAATTGTACACCAAATTCAGAATTACTGAAATTAACCACAATATCAGTAATACCAGAATACTGCAGTACCGGTACTGTATTATATGAGGCAGTGGATAGCCTACCGGTACCGGTACCTAGTGACTGAACGGAATTTGTTTCGTTTACCTGTTCCAATGAGCCTACTCATTGCCTGTTCTTATAAATTCTATATTGCGATATTATTTTATTACCGGTACCGGTACTATATTACAGAGTTAATGGCCGTTTTAATTCAACACTTTTATTCTATCTACTGGCAGACTGGGCCCAAACGTTGGAATTCTCTCCCCTCAGCCTCGGTCCCTTGAATTTCTGAATTTGAAGACTACGGTACCGGTAAGTCCAAAAACCCAAGGAACGTTGCGCGTTGTTGCTCGCGTCAGCAGGAACCAATGGTTCCTCACTGCATCACTGTCACTTCAGGGAAGATCAAATAAAAGATACGATTGGACATACGGCACCGTAACTTCCAATCTGTGCGAGATTCACCGACTCATTCACGTGACAGTGACCACATTCAAGAATTTATCTGTCACGAACAAATTACAAAACGACAGGTGAATCGCCTACGGCCGGGTCTTACTACTTACTCACTGAACACAGCTCGAAACACCGCAAAGAGCGCGAAACAGAGGGGAACAGCGCGGAACAGAGGAAAACAGCACAGAACAGAGGGAAACAGACGCCTCTTGCCATGGTTTTATGGCGCTATATTCACAAGGTCATAGGCTATACCGGATACCGTATAAGTTTAGCATGCGAAATTTTATTTACCTAAACCTAACCCCATATCAATCAAAACTGTATCCATAAGGAACATGTTCTAAATTACGGTACCCAAAGGGTCACCAGCTGGGGCAGTTCTGCCATTACAGCCTACATTCCTTGGTTTCAATTTGCTGCCTTGGTACTCCGTCTCACGCCATTTGTTTGTGGCAGCTAAAAAGTCAGCCGCCATGGTTGGACGATAGCGGCCATGGTTCTGCGCGAATTAAGTGAAAACTGCACAAAACGGAGTAGGCCCACCCACTTTTAGGTGAGCCAAATTTACTACTTCTTTTAATATACCTTTCCATCTAAAATCTCTACGCATTAAACCATACTTGAGATTTTGTTTGCTCCCCCGATTCTATAATAAGTTTTATTTGTTTTGTTTTATCCATTATTTTATCATCCAGTATGTTGATTATGGAGTCGAAATAAACTTCTACTTCAACAAAAATATTTATTACCAAGATTTGCCACAATGAAAGTTGTTGCAGAATTTCTTCTGTTCTGCGCTGTTTCCCTCTGTTCTGCGCTGTTTCTCTCTGTTCTGCGCGCTTTGCGGTGTTTCGCACGCTATTCAGTAAGTAGCAAGACCGCCTGCGGCCTACTCAGCTCGGACCTTTGTACATTCACTCGTCTTCTTCTGTAAAATGCAAGAAATTTCATCCATCATTTCTTCCATAACTTTCCGGTGCTAAAACAGTGGTTCCCTACGCCGGCCTCAGTCCGCGAGAAATTTCGTTGTTTTTATGCCGTCTCAATCGCTTTAATAAAGACGAGGTCGCGTTAATTTATTACACAATTTCTCTTCTGCCGTCATATATTGCAGCTTCTTGGCAACGTCTTCCGCGACATCTTGGCGCCGAGTAATCACTTTTCGTTTTTTCGACTCCGATTCATCGCGAATGCGCTTTATCAAATCTCGCAAGATTCAGAAACCTGGAGATCTTTTTCAGTACTTCGAGCAGACACAGTAGGATTTTGAGCCTAGTGTCAAGTTACCGACGACATTGTCATTATATTGTAAAATCATTCCGTTTGAGGGGTCGATCAACTGCAGAGGGATTAATAGAGAGAGAGATTTATTATTTCGTCAACCAGAAAACAAGCAATGGTACAATCAAATATATACACAAAATGCAAGTTAATTCGGTACAGACTGGAGGGAACGATGAGATCATCAAAGTCAGCTCATCCCAAATCCACTATTAAGATTCACAGTTATTGTATATAAACCATGTGGTAGATATTCATGCGCATAGTCTTATATATAGCATATTGTGACGTCAGGGGATTTCCCGGGCTATTACTCATTCTAGTGTTTTCTGTTAAGCTTGCTGGCTGCTTGGTATTTGATCTTATACCGTTCGCTGTTTCTTTTGTATATATTGTGTAATATACTTCGTTACTTCAAACAGTAGTCTCCTTGCCTTGTCAGGACATAACACCATGTATCATCAGATCCGTTTGACACACAAAACATTTAGTTTTAATATATACGTTGATAATAAGACACAAATTCAAAGAGTTTGTGCGTTGATTCTTGAGAAAGAAAAGTATATATACGAAAATTGTTGAATTCGGCCTTGAAGCTTAAAAAATAAAAATACATGAGCGTGAATTCGGGCTTTAAAATTAAGTTCTGGTCCAGAATAGATACCTATATCCGTGTCAAAACTATGTCAATTGACACACCGCTCGAGACTGAATGTTAGCTAGATTCTCCAAATGCTGCGTTTTTCACTGACATGTTTACCGACAAATTGCTTTCCCTTTTTGACTGACTAGAGCAGGCAAACTACACCGGAATGTAGAGTGCCATAGCAAAACCGAAGCTACCAGCACCAATCCCATCAAAATCCTCAAACGTTTTTATCTCATCTTCCAAGCTGACCAACATGAGAACGAATATTCCATATTATACAAAAATGATGTCTGTGGTCCAGATGTATTCATTGTCTCCGAGATTGTGTTGTAAAGCAAAATGTAGAATAGTTACCACCAGTAGTGAGATCCAGCCGGTTCGCTCCTGTTCTATAGAACAGTCTCACGGAATTTTATGAGATCAGCGAACCGGTTAGCATTACTGAAAATAGCATGACTTTTTGTAACAGAACCAGGTGAAAAAAATGACATTTGTGCGATGGAACCGGCTGACATAAAATTTGAACCCCACCACTTGTTACCGCACCAAATTCGTTTCACCAGTGCCCTATTTTCAGCTTTCATTTCAAATGCGTTATTTCCAGCCCTAATTTATTGCATCCCATCACTACGAACGCTAAAATTATGAGATTTAGGTGCTGAAAAACCATACAATAGATTCGGTAACTTCGGGATGCAGGAAAAATAGTTTATTTTAGTTTACCAAAATGTTCCAACCAACAGGTACTGATAGTTAATTTCAGCATAGTCTTTCGCAGATTTTCCAGGGCTAATTTATGATAACTGCGATTAAACTAAAGCTAATCGGAAGACATAATAACAACTAAATAACTTTATCTACAACTATTTTTTAAATCACAACTGAAATCAGACAAATAACACGCGAAACCACGAAAACGGAGTAATGTTTACAACCGTGCTTACAATATCTTCCTGAGCGCGACTTTAAAAAGTTGCCATTGTAAAACGTCATCGTTTACTATTTGCTGGTTGTTACAGAAACAAATAAAGATATCGATGCTTAAATATGGATGAAAGAAAACCTACGGAAACGTAGGCTACTACTGGAATGATATTTGGACATGTGGGGATAAAAACAACAGTAAAAGAAGAAATAGGCTTCGCATATCGTATACGGAATAGAAAACCCAAGATTTTTGTGTTGACGACAAAGCGCCAAACGAGTAGGGTTTTGTTTTTTATCAATTCTAAAAAAACATTGTGTTGTAAAACAAGGGCTTGTTTTAAATCATTTTTTTCTGTATTTTTTATTGAAATACCCCCTGTATTGCCGCTAAACTACGCCGAAACGTTGCGTTCTGGCAGCTGCATACGCTTTCTCAAAGTTATACTACATTACATCAACTTTCGCGAGGTGGTTTCGTCGCAGGGTCGTTCACGTGATGCTTATCGATTACGTGTTACTATGCCAACCGCGTTTGGGGTCGCACTGAACTACAGCTGAGAAGGTGTGTAAGGGCCTTTATCAATTATATTTGTGGCGTTTCGAAGTATTTATTGTATATAAGAAGCGCTTGGCAAGTTTTACATCCATTTTCCTTCAACCTATTTAATACAAGAAAATAATCAAATAGTACAGCCATTTTGAACATAAACAGGCAAAAAAATTGATTTAAAACAATTGTTTTAAAACAATTCTTTTTGAACAAATCCCTACAAAACGAGACATCACCAAATTGAGAAGTACAGTTTCATGCTTTACGATACAAACAGCAGATGCTCAAATGGAGTGTTAATAATCGGGTCAAATCATGAAGTTACTGAAATAAAGAGTCAGAATAACGACCTCGATCTAAAAAACGAACTGTAAAGAAAATCCAAAAACACAAACTAAGCTAAATTTCACGTGTTTCCGATTGTTTATTTTATTCATTTATTTAATTTTTCTCTCTCTGATCTTTTAAAGTGTATATATATATATAAATTTAGTCGTTTCCACTTCCTGTTAGTTGGTTTTTAATATTCATTTTTTTGTTTATACATATTTTTTATTTATTTTCAGTACGCGCGTCTGTTTGTCGTACTTTTCTATTCCTTTTAAACTTGTATAATACAAAAACCTGCACCGCAGGAACAACAGTGATTATGGGCTCCGAAGTTCAAGTTTGTTTCGTAATTTGTATTTTAAGTTTATATGTCCGAAAATTTTTTACATCGAAATACAGCATTAAATGTAAGTCAATAGCATGTAACTGATCATTGAAGGAGATTACAACCACTGGGCGCCGCAACCCAAGAACGTGATTCTGACCATTGTTTCTACCCCCATGTTCGTTGATTTAACTGAAATGGCATATAAGTGCGTAAACGACCCTTTTTTAGATAGCTACAGGTTCGTTCCGATAGGTCTATGCTGAAATGTTACTCCGTTTCGGTTATTTAGGGTCCGTTCTGGTGATTGTAGGAACTGTGTTTTTTACCATACTGCAATAAGTTTCTCATAAGTTTTTTAATCCTAGTTTGCATTTGCATGTTTCACACTCTTTTCTTGATGTGCAGATGTGATATTTTTTTATTATACACATGCATGACTTTTGTTTTATTTTGGAGTGGTGGTATTTCCCTATAAGGTTTGTAGACAGTATAATATACTTTTTTGCAAAATAAATCACATCTGATAATTATTATATTTTTGCATTAGTTTATGATAGTTTTTGGTTGACGAAACAATAAATCTCTCTTTCACTTTCTCTAAGTTGTCGTTTCCGATGCATTGGGAGGGGGAGGCACAATACTCTTTTTGTGCCAAATTAAATTCCAGAGCCAATATGGAATTATTCAATTATATTTTTAAGCCAATAAGACTGTAAATTTCAGACTAATTTTAAATAATTTATTTTGGGAAAACAATTGCATGTATTGAGTTACAGTCAATTGCAAAGGAATGAAATAGTAATACAGACAACTATTCATATATATATATACATATACCGCGTGTTTCCCCGAAAATAAGACCTAGCCTGAATTTTAAAAATGATTTTAATATAAGCCCTCCTTTTGAAATAAGACCTAGTCAATAATGCGAAACATTTTTTGACCTAGTCGATAGCAAGAAATCTCTTCTACACGTTTTGAATGATTGGTAATCTATGTTTTGCAGTTATTTTGAATAAAAACGTGTTATTCATAAGTAAAATGGATATCGGTTTTCGTATTTTTTATATATGGAAATCCCGTAATTCTCTACTTTGTAATTTTGTTTTTGATAAATGAAAATATAAGACATAAGACAAATATAAAACTGGGTCCTATTTTCGGGGAAACACGGTTTATATGAAATCCAAGGCTGCTAATCCGGTGTTCGTCATATCTCCATTTGCATTGAATATTGTCAGCACATCATAATAACGTTGATAACTAATTATTATTATTAAAAACAGATTTAAAAAAATTAGACAGATAATTTGAAAACCTATCATGCTATCAACCTTTTTCTTATACGCTTTTTATGTTATGCAAACACCTTTATATAGTAGACAAACCAATAACATAAGTTCAATGCTCTACAACTCAACTCATATTGTCATTTTTGTCTTGTTAGAAAGAGAAGATTTTATACAACTCATCGGAAAAAAAAAAAAAATTTCCTATCACTATACACCGAATCAATGGAATCATATTCTTTAATTATCGTGTTCCAATGTGCAAATCGAATCCTATTGTGTATTGGCTGTTCGACCCGGGTATAAAGCACTTTATAAAAAAAGACTATTATTGTAACCATAATTCTTTAATTTACTTATATATTACTTATACTGTTAAGGGCAACATTTAACACATGATGTAATCTGGAGTATAATTTGGCTCTAATTTGGTGAATAATGTGGTCTAGCTCAGCGGTTCCCAACCGCTGATCCGCGAAGCCTTTTGTCGGTCCACGATGAGTTTTGTTGTTTTTCTGTCGTCTAAACTAGCTCACCTTGTCATCCATCCGACTTTGATTAGACAGTTTGGCAGTTGACTTCAACTATAATCAGCTTTGAGATATCTCTTTTGATAAATATTTTTCTTTACCCTTCACTCTTGTTTACAAAATTTAGTTTGCGAACCGTTATACTTTGGTTTACTATTTGATTTATTTTAAGTTTTCCGGTTTTTTTTTTCTTTATAATATTTCTGTAATATTTCTTTTCTAATATTTCAACACGTACCATTTCTTTTGGCAAAACGTTCTTAAACTCTGGACGCCATAAAACTTATTTGAGGTTTTGTTTGCTTTCCCCGATTTTATATTCAGATTTATTTTTGTCATACAAGCATCAATATGAAGCAAAAAAACACACACAGTGAAACTAAAGTAAATAAAAACAATGACTCATAGCAGTTGACGTGAGGTCGCCAAATTCTCAATGAGTCAACAGTCTGATGCTGAATTACAGCAGCTAATTTAGCGACGAAGCAATCGGATGAAAAATTATCTCAAAAAATACAAAATCATGGAAAAACAACAATAGATTCAAAATAAATTATACTACGCAAGGACAGTTATTATGATTGTTTAGTTTTAGATGGCTTATTTGTGACATCTAATATTTCTGTTTTTATTTATCTGTTTTTATCAATTAATTATTTTATCGCCTGTTATTCCGATCATGAAGTCAAAATAAACTTCAACTTATAGTTATGACACAATAGATTTTTAAACCTAACATATGATGGGTTGTAGGATAGCATGGTATGCTACAACAAAAAATCAAATTTAATTTCCTTAATATTTTAATATGACGGAAGGTGCTTTAAAAATTATCTCATTATTTATTGAATAATAAGGCATTTTTAGGCGTATGTCGAAGACTGCATGACTGATCACGACACCAAACACAACCAAAGCAATAGTGACGGTTTAAAATCCTTTCATAAAGTACTCATGTATATTATAACCCGCCATTAGTGAAAACAATACCCAGTAGAGCAAAAAAATTGTCATTTGTGGTTATTACTTTTAACTTCGACAAGACATTTTTCATGGAATAAGGTTGAAAAAATTGAGAAAACATCTCACATAACAAAGCATATCGATCGACTAACGAATCGAAACTTCGCAAATTCAATATTTGAGCTTCTGTTATTCAAATCCACCCCGTATCAACTTTAAATCCAAATTGAATCAAGTGGTTTATATTTTTATTGTATTTAGTAAAGTTAGAAAATCAACAATGAAGCAAAAATCGGGTCATTCCATTTAATTACATGCATGACAACATGTCTTCCTGACGTAAATCTTCGTTGCCAAGTACCGGAATCTTTAAGCATATGCCGACTATGGCTATCCTAAACTCGAATTTGCAGTTGAAGGGTGATATCATGTTTCCTAAACAATTTGCTATCAGTTTGTGAAGATTTTATATGTGATATTAAATAAAGACAAAACCATATCTCAACCATATAAATATATTTATAGTTTGATAACCTACTATAACTAAACGTTATAAAAATAATAAAAAACAAGACATACAAGCATTATATATATATACATATATATAATATATTTGCTTTGAAATGATGTCTTTGGGTGAGCAACTGCTTCTATTTTATTCTGGTTAGTAGTAAATATTATGCGATGCGCTTGTTTGCTCGGCCATTTGAGCAATGCAGATATGTAATGAAAAGATGGTATGTGACAACAAAAATAATCATCAAGATAATATAGAAATATTTGTAGCGAAATCCTATTATTGCAATGTTGTTATTGACGCACTTGTAGTTTTCTGTAAAAACGGTTTTATGACACCTAGACATAAATGTAACGTAAATGTACATATGTATTTTGTTTGGAATGGCGAAAAGAAAAATTTTATGCATAGTTGACTTGCATCTATTTGGTCCATATGCTGATCAATCCTCTGGTCGACTCACAGCATATCCTTTGAATATTCTCATATCAAAACTATTCAAATTTAAATTCATCTTCAAAAACAGAAATTATGAGCATTAATCCAATCCCGAGTAATAATCCAACGTTCTGGAGTAGAAAATTGGTGACCTCAGTTTTCGTATTCGAAGCATAGTTTCCGGAATTCATTTCAGGTAGCTTGTGAAAATAAAATATATCAAGAACATTATATTCACGAACATTTAACAAAACTGAATTAAGGTAAGGGCAAGTTAGCCATGAGCGGAATATATATGCCAATGTACAAGATAAGATTAGAACTTGTAAAGGTAAGATACAAGCTGTTTTATTTGGAATGAGATGATGGCGGAACAAGCATATTCTAATTCGGGACTTACATCATATATCAAATTGAAACGTTCAAAAAACTAACACAAATTTCTGTTTGATGTTTATTATGAAGAATTTTAAAGTTGACTAACTGCTATGAAAGATAGAAATCCGGGGAAACTCAATTGCAAGACTATTTCTTAATCCCTCGGCAAAGTAGGGTGAGCCACCCTACATCTAGCATTGTTTTGGCCAGTGGCCAGCGAACTTTATGCACTGCTGGACCAACTGCACATGCACTTAATTTGACCAACTGCAACTTCTGTATTATGTAAAACTAACGGTAAGCACGTTCGGCAAGTAAACGACTTACAACTGAGAAGTGTTTTCGATCACGCTAATTGGGCACTGGGCGAAACAGTCATCGTTATGACATTCATCCGTGCGTAGATAATGATAAATAGATTAGTAATTTTTGTTTTTGTGCATCAGAAGTTAGGTAGTTTGAGAGCCACAAAACTTTTGTTGGCATCGCGAGCTAAAGATAATTGAATCTGCTAGAAGGCAGCTACTATAATTTTATGTGGCATATTTTTATGATTATGGGACAATTTCATATAATTTTTGACCTTTTTGTTCAAATGTCTTTTGGTTTCAAGTTGTAAAACAGTTTACTCACCATGTCGACAAGAGCAACGTACAAAAAATTCCAGCAGTGACCGCAAATATCCATGGTGTTACATTAGCAGCGTAATTCCCTGTAAAATAATATTGTACTGAATAGGAAAGAACGAACCGGCAGAATGGTGATTCTAAAGAATTACATGCTGAATTGGGAAATTCAAATTCACCCTCTTATCACGCACTATTCTACTCAATAGTAGGAAATAAATTTCAAAAAGTAATAAAGACATAACATATGTACCAATCAAAATTCCAACGATGAGTCCAAAATAACCGAGACAAGCTGCAAATCCATTATAAAATAAAGCTTGCTTTATTGACATTCCTGCTTTAATCAACATGGCAAAATCACCAAGTTCGTGTGGCAGTTCATGACAAAATACTGCGATTGATGTACTCATCCCACCAACAAGACTGATTGAAAACGCAGCACCTGTAAAATAAATTTAACATATTCCTGATTTAGCGTACACGTTAGATAAAATAAAGAATCGTTAAAAAAGGAAATAATCAAATTATATATTACTACTATTGCAATGCAAACATATCGAAATCTCTAACCAAATTCAAGTACTACTAATTAAATTTATTTTATGTCAGAATGCCATTGTCAAAAACATCTTACCGATGGCAACACCGTCACTAAAGTTATGCATTCCATCGCCTGCAATCACCATCCAAGCCATACTTGCAATGCCTTTGTCTGCAATATAAATTCATTTAAATGAGCATATTCATGATATACCTGCTATAATTATAGTCAAGATTATATTTTCAACCAGTAAAATAGCATATAAAGTTAAGGTAAATAGAAATGGGACACACAATTTTACTGGGGAAAGGAAGCCGCGTGGAATCAGAGCTGGGTGTCAGGTAGCGACAACAGATGAGACAGAAGAATTTCCATAGGGTGTCATAGTTAAGAAACATATATACTTATTTTATTTAATTCTGGGCGATCATGAATACCTACAACCTATGAGCAATAAAATCACGACGAATCAAATTAACCTTCCATATTTTCATGATCATGGTGATGTCCATGAGGATCAGTCTCGTGATGATGGTGATGTGAGTGAGACTTTTCTTTTGATAATTGTATTTGCCTATCACCATCTTCAACATCATCGTTAACATAATCATTCCCGGTTTTACTACGTAGTTTTTCGTCACTGTTGTCCTTTATATCGTTATGTTTCCTGTCCTGAAATAAATAAAATGTTTGAGGTATTTATAGTCATTGGGAACTTATTTCATGAACTGTATTGTTACAGTTCAAAAACATTTTATAATTCTAATCCCGATATCCAGCAATCAAATAAAATAGCTATTCAAGGCTCGAGCTGCTAAATGCAAAAAATTGAATTGAAAGAGAACCTTTGATTGAAAAACGATTTATCTTCAGCAAGCCATTTGATTTGATGTCAATATTTTAGCGATGTGATATATTAAACTAAAGAGAAATGCCTAATCATATATATATATATATATATATATACACGTAGGTGATGCCCTACCGGTATCGCCAAATTATTGAAACTTGATTTATACAAAAATTGACCCGACTGAAAAAAACGCTATGTGGCGCGATATTTTAAACAAGTGAATCTTTGGATAATAAAGTGGACTCCAGAAAGATACACTTACATTGCTAATTACTGAATTGCTAAATCTTTTACAGCGATTTGTTTGGTAACAAGAAAAAGAAGAGGTAAAACGTGATTTTTTCAAAACGATGCATATGCCTAATTCATGTTCAAAAACTACCAAGGCTTATCGACTTTATCACAACATGCAAAGCAATAAAAAAAATTATGATTTCCCTACTAGTTTCATTCTCTCCCTTCTGTGTTGCAATATTTTCATGATACCTTCGACTACAAACAGAAAGTAGATTCCAGCAAGAACGGTGAGATTTTTTAAAATTGGTTCGTTGCTGTGTTCGTGAGATGATGATTGAGACTGGACAAATAATAAAGTGAAAGATGCAAGTTTAAAATGGTAATTCGAATTACCGATTTTGATCCGGACTAAACAATTTTCATGCCGGGGATTATTCTATAGACAGAGTCTCTGTCTCACATATTACAAGGGAAATTTCACTGAGTATACTGCAACGGGGGCTTCGTATTTAAGCACGGTATAGTTTCATCACTGACAATATAGACTCGCCATTGTTAGGTTTGATGATACAAATACTGTTCACCAAATTCAAACAGTCCAGGGACAAACAAACTTTACGACACCGTCACCGAATGACGTGTCTACACTTATGTAAAGTTCAAAAGTGGAGATTGATAACAACTACTTTGCGAATACTATTTTACAATGATTGAAAAACGGAACGACGACAATTTGGGGTACAAACCGTTTGTATTTTAATCACAAAGTTTCGATCTAAATTCGATCAAGTTAAAACACTTACATGTGGGATTAAATGAAGTAGGGCGTCTCCACTTAAAGCTCCTACGGCGCCAGCAACCAGAACGGACAACAGTGTTTGGAAGAAAGAAGCCGATATCAGAGGAACAATAGCGACTCCAAGAAATGACAATAAACTAATTACGGTAACAGACAAGAAGCCATATCCCCACACTTGCGCGGAAGTTGATTTTGAACTGGTTTCGTCTGTAAGTATAAAGATTTTGAAGTTACATAAAAACATAGTATGTCGATTTTAATATGGTATTGAGGAAAGTATTCCCTGATCATATTGCTGCTAAATATTCTAAAAAATATGACTCAACTATGGCTAATTTGTCTACCTAGGTCCAAGAGACTACTATAAGGGGATCGATCGTGAATGATATGAGAAACAAGTAAAAACTCCAATGCAGCCTGCCCAGTTACCTAATGCCCAGTTAACGCAGTGCATTAAAGTCACATTCTTATATAAAAACTGTTGAAAATATTCTATGTCGGTCGAATGCGTCAGTGAATATGAATGTCAGTTTGTTGAAGTGTAGCGAATGTGGAATATAAATATGGATTTTAATGTTATTTAACTTTTTTGAAATAATAGCATATACTTCACATTCGCTACAAAAGCATTATCAAGATTGTTAATTTTTTTGACGGCAAAAATTGGTGCATTTTTGGTTGAATGAATACAAATAATGGCGCGTCCTATTGCGTTAAATGAGTAATTGTGGGTTTTGCGTTAGTTTTACAGCATTTTACCTTGAAGACGAAAGTGTGACAAAAATGTTTTAATTAAGTATTTGAAAATTATCAAAAAATGCGAAAAATAAACAGTATAAGTAGATAAAGTTGAACGGTAATGCCTAGGCTGACATTTATCAAAAATGAAAATAAACAGTTTTAACAAGATTGTGAATGACGGTATGCCCCAACGCCTGTTCAAGGTAACATTTACCATTGTTTTATTATCTCAAATTGCACTTGTTCGGTTACGAGACCCTTGTCAGCCCATATTTATTTCATTAGATCAAATACGATTAGGATCGAGGCGTAAAGTATAGAATGCACCTGAAAGTGAAATCGACAACAAACCCCATATGGTTGAATTAGTGTAGCATTGACTGGAACGAATTGTTACATTTTTATCTTATGAAAATTTTATATCTGGCTATATCAGTATTACTTTGCTCTCTGAGGCTATTTACTATTCTATATGGAGATAAGTAAATTGAATTATTAAAATATGTAAATAATGTATTTATGTATATTCACACTAAAGAAAAATCGTTCTTTATAATAGCTTTGGCTCGACAAAATAAAGCAATTGCATTTTTAAAATGTTTAATATTAATTGGATTTCAACACGATATCAGCTATGAACTGCGCTTAAATTACGAGTGTTATTCTCATTTGAACTCCACAAATAAGACTTCGGTTCATGATTATAACCGCTAGGAGCATGAGTATATTCCCTGATGATTCAACTTATCGTTTTAAAACGCAAACGTATATTTAGGTTCGTTTCTGTATTAACCTACGGCATTGCGAAATATTAAGAGGACATAAGGTCATATCGGTTCCTATCACATTAGATTAAGTGAGTTTAGTGCCGGGCAAGGAAACTCAAGGACTAACTTTTTGAAAGGTTACCGAACTAGCTTAAGAATCATACCGACAAAACATTTTATCTGAAATAGTCTGTTATTCTATCCTTATCAAGATTGAAAAGATTGATCACATTAACTATGACATCGATTAGCGGCGGTAAAAACCTAACGTTCTCAGGTATTCAGGTAATTTGCCCTTTACCAAACACCTATTGCTCGCAAAACCTGGCAACCAAATTTTCCAACTGGAGGAGAGGTAATGACTGTGAACGCAAACAGTATCATTTTTGGTTGTAACAAGCTAAAAAGTATATTTGAAGGTATTATTGAACACATACCACTCGGACATTCATGGCTAAAAATAACACGTGTCCTAAAAATATGAAAAAACTAAGTTTATGTCGGCATCTTGGTTACTTAGTTATATTATTTTGTTAGAAGCGACAGCAGAATTCTTCAAATACTAACCATCATCTTCACGTTCGATGCAGGTTTTCTCATCCGTTAGATATATTAATGCCGGACAGAGCATCCCAAACTGGTAAGCTCCTATTCCTCCTTCCTTGTTAATTCCATAATCTTGAATTAGGATAGAAGCAGAGAGACACTGGTAAATAAACGTAAGTATTTGAAAGTTAAAAATAATCTGTTAAGATGTCATTATGAAATAATTTTCTAGTCCGTGCAAGAATAATGTAATCAAGCTATTAATTAGGATCTTATATGGCAAGACTAACAAATAAAAGGTATTAAGTTATAGTAACTAAATGACTGATTGAATTTAAAGAAAATTTAATAGATAGTTAAGTAACAGAGGATGGCATAGAAATCCAACACATATATTTCGGCCATTCCTAAATCTAAAAAGAAGAATTTAACTGCATCGTGTTTAAAATAAAATTATTCGTAAGGATATTGCAACAAGAATGCATGCTATTATTTCCAATACAAGTTTTTTATTTTGAAACACTGCATCACATTTGATACCGTTTATTTAGATAAACAAAAAAATTAAGCGTTGTCATTAGTTTTAACAAAAATTTCAACAACAACAACTTACGTTAGAATTGTTTGAGTTTTCAGTTACATTTTCATGAAAATGTGGAATTGACGATACGGAGTCGGCAAATTTAGTAACATCAGTAGGCTAAAATAATAATCAATTTCATTGTTTTATTCAAAACAGTGTATTATTAATTATCTACTGTTATAAATGATTCTTTGCTGGAGCAATCAATAGGGCACATCGCCAAATTTAAAAATGAATGCCTCAACTTCTATATAAACTAAAACACAAATGTATCTACAATTATCAATCAACATCTGTTTGGGCCGAATGCACTGATATTTGAGCTTTACTAAGCTTGGGGTCCAGAGCTAGGTTTTGTTTTAATCAGTTTCTATTGTGGTTATAAGATAACAGATAAGGCTTTTCTTTTAGGATAGGGCTCTTTCAGATCAAATTATTTTTATTCCTGCAAATTCCAAATGTAGTATCTTCATACTTCGACAACCTGTTTTGTGAGTCATACAGATACGTTTTATTTTCAAATTTTAAACACCAAAAAAACGTCAAGAAATACTTTTGTACCTGTTTATCATGATCAAGATTGCCAGGATTGCTTCTTTTTCTTCTTCGTCGATCTGACAAAAATTAGCGAGAAATCGTGTTTCATTTTCAGAGGTTGCAATATGAAAAATATTGAAAAAATAAATAAATGGATAAATTGAAACGAAAAATACGTTTCCTGGAATAACATTATTTTTTTTCATCATGATAGCATATAACAAAATCAATCACTTGTCGCAATAATAATATCAATTTTCAACTAACCGTGGTGATCTTCTTCGTCTTCATCATGGTGAGGAATATCGTCACTTCTGGGCAGTTTGTGGATGATCCCAAGACCGAGATTACTCATCAGTTCCGCCAGCATCTGTTCACTCATTTTGTCGCTAATTTTGAAATCGACCACGTACTTTGTAAATATTTTCTTGATATATTTGTTGGCTTCAAATTCAGGCTAGAAACAAATTAATTCATATTTAATATAAAGAAAGAAACGAAAATTAACAAAAATAAATTATGAAATGCCATCATGATGTTTATAGCGTCTTGAGTTCATTGCGCTTCAAAAATTGTCTTACTCTTGTTAATTTGTCAAAAATTGTAAATAAGCCTATTTTCTGACCATAAAATAGGACGTGTTTTTCACTTTAAAAACGGACGAAAATGTGGAAACAACCAACAATATTTTTTAAATGTTTTAGTATATTGTTTATGAAAGAAGCTTTTTATTTAAATTTACCTACCGTTCCTTCTAAAGCAATTTTTCCATCCGGTCCTGTGTACCAACAATATGATTTTCTTATAAGGCAAACCAGTAACAAAGTAACTAAGACGTTTTGCATACTTAATATCTATTATAAAAGTGTACAAAAACTGTAATGTATTGGAAAATAGACTATTAGTTTAGTTTATATTTCATCAATATATAAAATACAAACAATATACCAAATTTTCTTGCATCTCGACTGGAATTTGGATAGGAATCATCTACAAAGCATGCTGTAATATATATAACGGGATCCTGTTCGTATGTAGACAACAACATTCATCAGCACGTTCACATGGGTGCATTTTTTGCTGCTGATTCTTCGTTTTTCGAATCAAGCGGTCAATCTCGTTCACTTCAAACACTCAGAAAAGGCAACCGAATCACTTTGGCCACCAGAGATCGTGTTTATAGAGACACGTAACTCAATATGCCGGGTCTGTGTGTATGACCTTGCATACACTTGCCTCAAACCACAATTTGGTTGAAAACTGCTGATGATGTCCAAGTAACTTATACGTTGTAGACAGCTTTGGATTTGCTACCTTGTTTTGTATGCTGAACCTTTGTTATTCAAATAAAGCTTCCTCCAATTTCACTACACTACGATTCACCCAAATTCAAGCTATAGAATAGATATGCCCAAACTTGTTTCAAAACAGCCCCAGGCACCTGACAGGTACTCACGAAGGTGTGCAAATTTGGCCTTGCTAACTGCACTGAACGGCGTTGAAATTTATCCAACCAGCACGAAAATGAGGGATTACTGTCGCGTCAGGATTACAATTTAGCGAAGGAATTACCAACAACTTTCAAAAGTCGAGGCGTCTTAGCCATTATTTTGCTTTTATTAAAAAATACTTTGTTAAAATTCGATACACACTTTGAACTTTATAGTGCTAATATTGTCAAATAATCTTTGAATAGTGAGGACTTATTTTCATACGAACATAATACGTCACCTTTTTCTACAATTGTTCACACTTCATCCGTTGGAAATGGGTTGGAATATTTTATAATACTCAGTGATACACGACATTTAGAAATGAAGAAGTAATTTTGTGATGGAATGTGCATTTTATATCACTTGCAAACTTATTCGCACCTAAAATGTCTAATCTGATAGAGTTTCCAATGTCGCAGGTGAGCACGCATGCATTCTTAAATGTTTTTCCAAAACAGGTTGCGCGCGTCGCCGTGGGATAAGTTTGCGTGTTCAATTAGTTATACGCTGATCCGTAAAATCAACCACGATTAACAGCTTAAAGGCATTCAGGAACAGGCTTCATTGGAAGCCCTAACGTGCGTTATCCGTATGCCTAAAACTACAAATGCTTAAAATTAACTGAAACCGAAATCAAGTGACAAGCGAACCTTAACAAAGATCATTGAATTGAAATCCTAAATCTAAAAACCTATACCAAAAATCACAATGCAGTATCGCTTTCATTGTATGGTGATTGACGTCTCAAATTGATGGGATATAACTTTCGAAATTCTTTAAAAATACTGATTGACATAAATATGTTTTTATTCGGAAGACGTTGCGGTTGATGAGTATATCCGGTTTTTTCCGCCTACAACATTGAAACTTTAGCTACAAAACAGTCTCAAAAATGGAATAGGGCGTTACAGCTAAAAATACAAATTTAGAACATAAAGAATATTTAAATTCTTTAGCACGGTCGAAAGTTAATTAACTCAATCATAGGCATGAACCAATATTTGTAACGGTAACTTTGATTAAAGTCCTTTCGAAACTTGAAAAACCTATACTGTAGCAGATATTTGTCAAGAAGGACACTTATATTGAGCATCACTCTTCCGGTCGTGGGCAAATAGATTTTCTGTATACTGAAGTTGAATATACCGGGATGGTATTGTGAATTTTGAGCAGTTTTTACTATATTTTATACCAATTTGCGGTTTAGAACACTGACACAAATTAAGTATCAGAAATGACAATGATTTCCCACTTAGATTAATACACAGTCCATTAGCTTAACTTCCATAATAACTGCATTAATCATAGAGACGCGTCTTTTCCAAATATTAACAAAAATGTGGACTTTGGGGTAATCCTAATTATTCTAAATTATTATTTCATACGCGGATCAACTCAAGTCAAAATACAGATTCTAATCCAATCCTTTAATGGGGTCATAGCTCAAGGAGTTTTCGTGATAAACAGTTTCGGAACCAGATTGAAATGTGGCGCAAACAAACTTATTCTCAGCGATTACTGAACCGATAAAGACTTTCCTGTATACAAACTGATATAAACCTTTAGTTGTTTGTTTCAAATCTCGGTATGTGTTATGTATTACAAAACAGATGCTATTCTCAATAACATAAAATAGTGTCAAACACATGACTAGAAGCTCCTTATACTTAAATCAAGTAGCAATGCTAATCTAAAACACTGAATTTTTTCGTACGAGCATAAAAAACTGTTTAAGTACTGTACTAAAGAGTTATTCAAATTTCAGTGGGGCTGGGGCACGTACTTGAAAGCAAGTCTTACAGCTGTATCAAATTTTTGCCTTTTAATAATACATAAACTATAATAGCGGTTCCCGAACTTTTTGTTCGTGTGGGGCCAAATCATCAGAGTAAAAAATCTCACGGCGCGCGTACACAAAAATAAAATGCTGCTTTTAAATAAAATTCTACGGAGTAAACGGATTAAAAAGGTCAACTTTTCATCCTCATATCTGCCTGGTTTTCCTCTGAAATGCTGAACAAATCACTCGCAAATCACATGTTCGCCGAACTCGGTTCAGCCTATAAATAAACCGAAGTTCACGAAATTGCAGCAAGTTGTGTCTATCTGTATTGTTACGTGTCAATAGATGCAGACACTACGTATCAGAAAGTAAACAACATAGAAATGTAAAATGGATGCATTGGTTTGTATACACATCTTTTAAAATAGGAAACAATGGAACATTATTAACAAATCCAATATGTAAAATATTCAATTATATTTTATTTATGTTTAACACAAGTCTGTTAATTTTCGCGGCACACTTAGCAACACGCCGCACCTTTTGGGAACCGCTGAACTACAATATAAATTCTATACTCTAACTGTCTGTTGGTGAAAGCACGTATTGGCTAGGCACCAGTATGTTGCATCCGTGCAAAAATTTCGAAAAAATCGCCCCAAGCTTTGATGACTCAATGTAATCGAAAACTTCCTCTGTGGATAGTTCAAACTATTCTCAATATCTTCCTGCTCTGCGATTTTAATTATATTTACAGTGCGGTGTTATGCATGAATAAATCATAACATCAGAACATAGACGTCCATCCATCTGAGTCTGCGATCGTGTATAATTAAATCTAAATTCGTGAAGGTTATATAGGCCGTCAACGAAGTTGCATTATTGTCGACAAATTAGCTGACGACAACTAATTGACTTGCAATTATTATTCTTTAACGTTTGTGCCATTTTAATTGTTCAGCAATGTAACTACCCCCCGGCTATTATGAACGTTTCAAGTATAAATGTTAGTTATCGCATTTGGGAATAGATTGCTAATTTAGAATAATATGGGCACATAAAATGCTATATACTGTACATCGATTAAGAAAATAATGCGATGCTAGGACAATGGGCCAAAGATATGTTGACCTTTGTCTAACAATACTGTACTTTAAGAAAACCGGGTGTTGCTTAAGCTTGTATTACACCCTTCACAAACATGAGCATCAGATAGTCACCACTTTAATTAGAAATTAGTACATGTTTGTATTAGTACATACTAAATATTCATACATGGTGAAGCTGTGTTTTATCTTTCTTTCAAACATATAAATACCTGTTTCAGACTTTCAGACTCAGTCTGTACCATATATTGTCAATTTATATATATTTTTGATCCTATCTCCATTAATAGAACGTTTAATATTCTAAAAATTGCACTATGGTACAAACTGGTTTTTACCAACGGAAAATCTCATGTGATACATATAGATTTGTACCATTCCACATTGACAATTTGAAATATTCTTTCCTTTTAACATATCCTAACAACATGCAACATACCTCCAAGTTCTATTCAACGCGAAAATCAGCGCTATATTATTTCTTCAGAAAAACTGAAATTCGGTAAGTGTTATACTATTTGATTCAAGAACCTTGTTGCACACTGTTATATTTGAAAAATGCTTGACTGAAGAAGTCCGTCCCCGGTCACGCACCCATTAGGTTTACCATTAGTTCTTTATTTGACTTAAGCAAACAAAAATATTGTGGAGCGGAAGCATGGAATCGGCAGTCAACATGCACAAAGCAAACAAGCACTCAGTATATCATCGTGTCGTCAAATTACGCCCCAAACAAGTTGAAACAATTTTTCATATAGTTGATAACTGGTTGCATAATATACAGTATATATATTGAGGTAATCCGTCAAAAAGTCGTCATGTCATGTGAATTCGTAATGAAATGAAAGTTATGATGAGCAGAAGAGTTCAAATCCAATTTACATAAATACGAGGTTAATGCCCGACTAATGTGAAGATTCAGATATCTAGAGTGTCGATGGCGTCGGTAAAATTGATCCAGCTCGGTAAAAATAGCATAGCAATGTGTTAAAATATACATGTCACTAACTCATAAACAGATTATAACAAAGATTTTATAAATCCACAAGACTATTATTACGTTGTGAAAGAATCCTTAAGTCAGCGAGCTAGTTAATTAAACAATTATGTTCTGTAATCACCAAACTAAACTTTTCTAAATAATTTCATACAAGTAATGCTTTGTTATGCTTCAAAGGGACCTCCGGAAGTATTTGTTAGCAATACACATGCTATATTCCAATCTGAACTATCTCTATACAAAGTTCGACCAAATTCTCCAGAAACGGTGGAATGTGGATATAGGGCAATTGTTTACAAATGCATATGCAGCGCAGAGCGCACTCTCGTGAGTCTCGTTGTATCGCATATTAGAATAAATTAGACCAACTCTCCTAGTTTGATAATGGAGGAAAGAGTAAGTTCGATATTGGTGGCTCGATCTGAATAAGTAAATAAAGTTATGCAATCGAGCGTGAGAATTGAACATCTTTGACGTATTCGCTAATAATTGTAGTTACAAAAAGATTAACCGCTCACAAGTCAC